GACTCAGCCCCTCAACGAAGACAGAACCCTGTATCCAGTGGCCATGTTTTAGAGGGTCGACTGGAGGAAAGGCAAGGTTTAACGACAAGATTCCAGGGCAGACACAGCACCCGAGATAACATAGACCCAGATTCATCTCAAGAAGAGGGCAGAAGGGCTGTGTCTTATGGGGTAAGAGACAGGCCACCACGGAGGAGGAGATGATTCCAATATTCAACCTATCTTCAAGATCTCTCCAAACTGAGGAAATCAAACTTCCCCTTAAATGGGAAGTTGAATTGTATAAATTTGGGCACTTATTGCAGCCAAAAGATTTCTTCAAAGACCAAAGCAGGGACTCTTTAACTCAAGTGTCACAATTTAAGAAACAAAGTACCTTTGATCCGCTACCAAACCAACCAGCCATTAAGACATTTCTTCGCTTGGTTGAGAAAGAAACCATGGACTTCATGAGGGTTCCACAACGCTTTAATTCCAACTGCTCCAGAAGAGAAAGGGAGATCATCAAATCTCTATCAATGGATAGTAACATCATTATTAGACCAGCTGACAAAGGTGGCGGGATAGTGCTACAGAATTACACCGATTATCGTTCAGAGATTGAAAAACAACTGTCAGATCTAGGAACATATTTACCACTTTTGGAGGACCCCACTGAATTGATAAAACAACGAATTGTGAATACACTGCAGAGGGGTTTGGAGAGCGGTTATATCACTTTGGAATTGAGCCAGTATCTGCTACAAAATTCTCCTAGGACTACTGTTATATACACGCTCCCGAAGGTTCACAAGAACAGAGAACACCCACCTGGGCAGCCAATAGTGTCCGCTATTAGCGGCATTCTGGAGCCAGTGGCAAAATGGCTTGACCGCCTTTTCAAAGATACCATAGAGAATCTGGAAACTTGTATAAAAGATACTCCATCGTTTCTTAGATTGTCGTCCTTACTTAAGTTACCCGCTAATCCAGTGATGCCAAGAGCTTGTACACCGTGATTCTACAACAGGATGGTATTCAGGCTATGAGAGTATTGTTGTCCAACTCCCCATACTATCAAGGTCCACCAGTGGAGTACATGTTGGAACTTGTGGATATCAGGTTTGAAACACGATGGTACCGTCAGGTTGCAGGTACGTCCATGGGTGTAGCTATGGCACCCATGTATGCCAACGGATATATGTACCGATTTGAGAGTAATCTTCTGTGTTTTCAACATGTCAATGATAGTTCATCATTCACTTTTCACTTGGTCTTTTACGGTGAAACGTACTTCAGTAAACCAGTTGCTCAACTCAGATTTAAACACTGACCATTTAAATCAAAGGGATCTCTGGCTGATACTTTGTACGGTTGGCTAAAGAGCCTGCTTGATCTTTCACTAGAGGGACAGATGTTTATCCTCTAATTGGTAAGGAGTATGAGCGCCCTTGTGTTTTTAACTGATTTGGTTAGCTTCTTTTACATTTTTATTAAAGGAATCGAGGTATGTTGCTTTCACTGAATATTATATATATATATATTAGCTTATACAATCATTATTAGTAATATTAATAATTTGTTGTTTTTTTCAGTTTTTGTTTAGCAACATTGTTAGATTTAAGTAATTAAGTGGTAGATTTCCATAGCTTTTTTGTAAAAAGGTTTCTTAAACATATTTTGCTCCTTCATTTTAGCATAGCTCCACCTTCTGGTACTTAAATGCATTGCAGTATTTAAATCTGCAATTTTGCTTTACTTTGTACAAATACATTATTATTATTGCTATTTATATAGCGCCAACAGATTCCATAGCGCTTTACAATATTATGAGAGGGGGATTTAACTATAAATATGAAAATTACAATTAAACTTACAGGAACGATAGGTTGAAGAGGACCCTGCTCAAACAAGCTTACAGTCTATCTGTTGTAACCGATCTTAAAATAATATATTTAACTTGTTCCCAACAAATCATTTAACTGCAGTTTCCTGTTATTAGCCTATTATTGTGTGCGCACACACCTCTCTCAATTGTGTAATATTTCTTATTCTATAATATGCAATTTACTGTTTACATTCTATTTTCTGCATACTGTTTACATCATTTGCCCTTTGTTCAAACACAGTACTAACTGTCCTAAAAGACCAACGTAACCACCATCACAGGTTTGCATAATGGTTATTGTGCATAGAGAACCTTGAGCCTACTCTCAGATTGACTGTGGATTATAACTTCAGCAATAACTCAACTGTGAGTTCTAGGTTACCTTTGATAATGTTGCCCAGCTTGTGACTGTCACATGCACAGTTTGTCCTGAAAGAGAGGAATCTGAGCTGCAGACCACGGCTCTGCTGATTGCTGTGCTTAAAACTGTATCTTTTTAGCTTTGTATACACAGTGTCCTCTTTTGGTTCAGTTTTTCTAAACCAATCAATGCCAAAGATTTGCACATTTGCAATACAGTCATAAAACCAAGGTGATTTAGCACTTTTACAATATCTAATGCTAACAAACCCTCTGAATACCCCAACCATCAAATTTGACCAGAGTAAAGCTACTGCGGTGGTTCTTAAACCAAATATGGAATATTCATGCTATCTTACTGAGTCCATATAACGTATTTGTCAGAACACAGGCAGCTGGTGACCATTAATAGTTTTTGTGACCTTCCCTTACCAAGTGCAAAAGACACCCATCTGACTACAGAAAGACTCTGTTGAAGGTGAACTTTATTGTTGATATTAACAAACTGGTCACTGAGATAATTTTACTATTGAAAAAAAAATGTGCTTACACTATTGGTTACTTATTTAAAAAGTTTTAGAACTAAGCTATCGCTCTGACTTATCCTGGACAGTTCAGAACTCTGCAGAATACAACTGAATGGAGCAACAATAAATATTGCAGTTTGTCTTTTTCATGGATTAAAAAATTTCTTATAACACAGTAGTGTGATTTCAGTCTACTTTTGTGTGACTGGTAGTAATAATTAATGTTGTATGAGACTGTACACTCCTAGCAGAAAATTTTTTGCCTTCTGATTTTTCTTCTCCATCTTCCTCACAGGAGGTGTTGTATGAAATGTATTAATTATTTTTCTTTATCAGCAGTCTACATAAATTAAAATTTTAATTTTTTATTTTAGGACGCATTCTGGAAAGAGTACACTAAAGCACATCAGGGAGAAGTCAACTCTGACGGCAACTGGTATCCCTTCTATCTTGCCTTTCCATTGATCATTGTCTTTTTCATCATCCTTGTGGTACTCTTCCTGGTGTGGAGATGCATTTCCAAAAAGAAGGCAAGCAGGCAGTCGGCCTATATACCTAGAGGGGTGCGGGAAAACGCTGCCGAGGTAGGCATTGATCCAGATGGAACAAGCGGGCATCACTTACAACATCATAGCACAGTTATGTGTTCCCTGGAAACCGCTGCTGACAGGGCAGGGCACCTTGGTGGATTTATTGATTATGATGTGCATTCTGATACTCTGTCAGCTGGACTATCGAACTGTGACCCTCCACCCTCCTATGAGGAAGCCACGGGGGAGCAAGGTGCGAGAATCATTGGACCATCACAGAATCCCACAGAGCCACCACCTCACTATGAAGATATAGTCTCTTCTGCTGTTACAGTACCTCAAGCAGTCAATGCTGTCAAATAACCAATGTTGAAGGATTATCAGACAATATATATTTCTTTCTTTTTTTTTAAATTGCAAATTAAGTATTTTTAAATACAATGTTTATTTGCCTTTTGGACAAATGTTTACTCCAGGGAATTAAGAAAACACTACTTTTTTATTTCTTATCAGAATAAACTTCAATAATAACTTGTACCTGAATTGCATTGGTTATTCCACAGTCATATGAAAAGGTCTGTGCCTGAAGGAAATATATTGTTGCTGATTTTGCTAGACTGAGTTCTAATCACGTTTTCCATGCTCACCTTTATGTCATAACTAGATTAGATAGTGACTTATTTAAGCCAGATTTAGACTCTAATTATTGCAATAATTTTTTTTCCTATGTAAGAAAGGCTGGCCTATGAGTTATAACCACCATTAACCAATGGAGTGCATTTATCTTTTTGTTGTATTACAAAAAAATATTATGCATAACAGATTTTTACTTTATACCCAATTGTAATTCTGGTGCTTAAATATAATGGGTGTAATCTTTGAGAGTGATGTCATCTGCTATGAAATGGACAATTTCTGAATCGGCAGTATTTTGTTTACCTTTAAATTGGTTGAATAAAGAAATGCTAAATTTGTGTTATTTATATGTGAATATAACTGCCTTAACTACTCTGCAACAGCATTTTGTAATTTTTCTTTTTATTATGATTATTATTTTGAGTTACCTTTCAGGTTTGAATGAATGTCACAATGCAGCAATATATTTTATGCCATTTGCCATTGTTTTACTGTCGTGTAATTAAGAAAAGCATTGACAATTAAACGTAAAAATGTTTACCCCCACTGGTGATACAGAAAAAAATTACTTCTCCAATTAAGATGAATCTGCATAGTGCATTGTTTAACAATTTTAGCATTTATGCAATGACAGATCTTTAGTGACGTTTATTCTCTATGATTTTTGTTTGTGGACAGGTTTGTTTGCAAATTTCAGAAATCGCTCTCCTAGAAATGTCTGTCACCATCAACACCATGATCTATTCTTCTACTAACTTCTGTGTAGGAATGCCAATGAAGTAGATCTGTTTCATTAAACCATGCTGATTTTTGCTAGTAACAATGTTCATTCTCGAAAATATATAGATATTTTTTAAATTCTTTATTATTCTCATTCCACACATTAGTTGTACAATAAGGCATAAAGCACTGGTCACATAAGAGAGAAAAATGGTAAAGTTGGTATTGTTGACAATATTCAGTGTATCTTACATTTGTAAAGACTTGGAGATGAGTAAACTTGTGACCTGCTAGGAAGGTGAGCTTCTGAGAGAAGACCATGTAATGGTAACCCCCATAATGACAATTATGAGGTATTTAAGTGTATCTAACAATTACGGGGGGGGTGGGGGGCGCACTCCCTCACATGTGTAGTAGCTTAAAGAGAATCGGACCATAGGTCCGGTAGGGTCTATCGGGAGGGGTGGGGGGCATTAAGGTGCCTGTGAGTCGCATATTGTGTGATCAGAGCGCTAGGGCCCCATCTGGTCAGGTCTCTGAGCGGATTGCGCGCTACAATATGGTAATGCAAGAGTTGCCGCTGGTGTGTGGTTATATTAGACAGCTGAGTTTAGTGCATACGTGATTTGTCAAGTCATAAAATGGGAAAAGAAAAAAAACAACGATATTTTAAAAATAGTAAAGCAAACAATCAGAGGTAAACATTAATAGATGTTTGGATCAATTCAGTGGTGTTACTGTGTAAGTCCCGGTATAATGGAGGGCTGTCGTGGCTAGGGTGTCTTCCTGCCGATTGGTCTCAGCCTTGGGGGTCAGGTTAAGTCTCTGGACGCCAATGGGACTTGAGCCGTACGGGGTGTGAATTCCGGGATTTTATCCGGGTCTAGGTGAACTAGTCCTGAACTAGAGGTTGCGCTTGGGTTGAGGTGTCCCAGCTTGCACAGTTGGTCTTCAAGCTCTTTTGGAGTGCCCACATGGTAAGTTTCCCCTTGTGCCTGGAATCGGATGGTTCTTGGGAGTCCCCACCGATAGGAGATGTCTTTTGCACGCATGAGCTGCAGGTGTGGACGCAGAGAGCGGCGCCAGGCCAGTGTGCTCCTGGTGAGGTCCAGGAATATCTGCAATGTGGCTCCTTTAAACACTATCAGAGTTTTCCCCCTCACTGCTGTGAGGAGTAGGGCCTTGTCCTGCAGTGACTGGAACTGTACAATGAGATCCGACGTTGCGGATGGCGGTGTGCCCGCAGGTTTTTTGTAAGCGGAACACGCGTTCAAGTTTTATTGCCTTCGTCTGCTTGTGAAGGATGTATGCTGCAAGTAATCGCCGTACAAAGTGTGGTAAGTCCGAGATCACCAGTGCCTCCTGTACACCTCTAATCTTAAAGGTTATACCGTTTCCGCATATCCTCCATGGCGTCAAGCCTGCTCGCGGCGCTGAAGTGCAGATTCTCTAGTTCTTCGACCCTCTTCTCCACCGTGGATAGCCTTGAGTCGTGGGTGCTATGTGCCACCTATAGCTGGGCAATTTTCGTTGTTGCGCCCTCCACGGTCTTTTGAAAGTGGGCCATGTCTCCCGCTATATTGGTGCGGAGCTCCGCGAGCATTGCTTTTAGCTGAGTGGCGGTGACCGGTTCCCTGTCTTCCAGCTTGCGTGGCCTGGGTCCCGTGTTTAATCTGAGGGCAGCTCCCTCCTCTGGCTCGGCAAAAAAGTCGCCTGAGGAGTATGAAGATCCCTCCTCAAGGGACGCCATCTTGTCCCATGCGGCCTTCTGTCTACTGCGAAGCATCTCACAAATGTCTCGGCTTGGTGTGTCTTTGTCCGCCTTGGGTTTCTTGTTTTTCCGACCCATATTGATTAGGGTGCGTTGGGCAAGGTTTGTAGCCTGTTTGTTCGCCAGGTAGCCTTTCTAAAACAGCCTTTTAGGGCAACTTATTGCAAAGTTCGGAAAAGTGTGGCCGCTCTGGTTCACTGCTAGGCTCCGCCCCCCATTCCTGAATATTATCCCTGAATAATCCTTCAAAAACCCAGGCACAGAAGTTAAACTCACAGATCTACCATTTCCAAGCAAAGGCTTTTTGAATATAGGACCCATATTTGCCTTCCTCCAATCCTCTGGTACAATTCGTGAAAAACTAAATCATGAAAGATTAAAAAAACATTTATTAGCCACAGAACAGGGCCCTAGTCACCTAAACGGCGACTAGGGCTCTATAGCGTTAACAATACACATTTGTCTTCCTACCGCTAAAGTGTTCCTTTAACTTTCTTAAATTGCTGCATCACCTTGTCTAGTCATCCAATCACATTTTTCTGCAAGTTGTTTTGCAGCAATCTCTTGCCATAGGTGCCTGTACTGAAGAAAAATAATTTAATTAAAATGTATCCCCTAATTAGTACTGTTGGAAAAACTTTACAATTGATTTATCTGCAAATATGCCCATAGATGTTGATGACTTGTGTAGATAATTTGGACAGTTTTTCCTAACAGTATTGAATAATTTGGAAAACATTATTTTGCCTAAAGCAGACATGTTTAACCCCTTAAGGACCAAACTTCTGGAATAAAAGGCAATCATGACATGTCATGTGTCCTTAATGGGTTAAAGGGGTGATTTCTGTTCAAGGTCTGTATTATGTGTTCTACATACAGTGATAGTCTGTGCTTTACACATATATACAGCTCAGCTTAAACCTTCAAACTGAGGTCTTGGTTTTGTGTACTGATTAAAATAATGTTTATGGAACACTTTAATATGTGATTCATTATTCAGACTGAAGCAATTGTCAAACATGTAGGGAAAGTCTAGCCTCTTACTCAACTATGTATATCCCCACTTACCAAAAATGTCAGCTCTTTCTGGTATTCCAACTGCACTTGCAGCCATCAGAGTTTATTTAGACATAGACATTAATGCATCCACAGTACACTACAGCGTTAAAAAAAAAAATCACTGACTTAAGCAAAACAATGGTCCATTGTGCTTTTATAGCCAGAGTGAAGAGAAATTGTTTGATGTTCCCAGTTATACATACATTTCCTCAGTGTCAAAGGGGGCTTTTTTTATATATATATATATATATATATATATAATTACACACACACACACACAGGGTGGGCTAAAATTCAGAGTATAGTTTGAGGAGTCAATCATTTTTTTTTTTTTTTTTTTAATTGTATTAACCAATTTCTATATTTCATTTGCATATTATGAATGCAAAGCTTATGGAAATTTGTTTGGCTAGGTACAGAAGATTACATCTATTTTTTTTATTTTTTTTTTTGTGCTGCTTTGAAGGAACAACATTTAAGTAAAGACACTTTGACAATTCCAAGATTTGCATGTGAGAAAAACTGTGTCAAGGTTTCAGATGTGTCAAGATATCACTTGATATTATAATAATAAAACAGACGTCTCACTGTATGTTCAATTAATAACAATGGACTCTATATCTGAAATAGACATGAGGATTACATGGTTAAGATTAGTAAGTTAGCACATATAGCAGAAGAAACTTCGGCTGGACTCCGAGGCCTGCACTCATGGGACAACAGAGCGTGTCAGTAAGTTATAGTAAGTTATAGTAAGAGTCAACCGACTCCCTGAGTGGGTAGGGTTTGGCAGTACAATGAGAGTCAACTTATGAGAGCGACAGAGCAGTGACAAGTAAGTTCACCCAGGATGAAATGTACCTCCCCCCCCCCACACCATCACGCAATGAAAGCACGCCAACGTCTATGATGTTATGCAGATTGTAGTGAGTGCAATGTCTGTTTGTGTAGTGGACGCAATGTGTATATTGTATGCATTGTGTGTGTGTCATGGATGTTGTGTGTATTGTATGCAAATTGTGTGGACTACATTGTGTATGGGGAAATGGATGCAGTGTGTGTACTGCATGCAGTATTTGTGTGATGGATGCAATGTCTGTGTAACGGATGTAGTGTTGGATAAGGGATGGGGGTAGGTGAGCAGTTTAAATAAATTGGGCCTATCCCCCTCCCTGCCTCTTACCTGAGGGCTGGAAGGAGGGGGAGGGGGATGGCAACTGTGTGTAGGATGGTGACTGTATAGGGGGACAGTGTATAGCAAGGTGACAGTATGGGGGGGACCGTGTCGGGTGGAAGTCTGTGAAGGTGCAGGGTGTGGGGGACAGGCTGCAGGGGGGCTTGGTGTTCTGGAGGCAGTCTGTGTGGGAAAGGCTTTGGGGTGCAGGATAGGCAGGTTGTGATGAGGCTGTGACAAGCCTCCCCACATTCACATACCTTTGTGTATCTGTGTGTCATGTGTGCAGGTGTGTGGGTATATGTCGGTCTCTATATGTATTTCTGTGTATGAGTCAGTGTTTTTATATGTACCTCTGTGTTATGTGTATGTATAACTATGTAAGTATGTGTGTTTGTGTGCATACATCCAAGATCCAAGCAATAAAACACCAGCATGTTGTGGACAAAATATTAACCCAATCCATGTTGGTAAAGTGCCTATTTACTCAAAATAACTACAATCAGCATTATTCAACTTTCTATGTGATTTACCTAAAATGGCCGCTAGGGAGTTTCCCTTTTTGACATCAACTAACACTCTCATTAACATGATGGCGCTGGAATCTGGGGAGACCTCCAAGATACCAGTGACATCACACCCGGTAGGAAGAGCACTAAATAAACCACTTAACACCTAACCAATTATTGATGCATTATTCCATGTTATCTCTGACAATGCATATGATGTAATTTTGCTTTATAAGGGGCATGTCGTCCCCTCAGAATAAACATTCCTCAAGTTTTTCATTAACCCGAAACCTGTGTCTGGTGTCAATTACTTTAGGAGCGTGCACGCATTACTTCTTAATTTGGCCGGGGGCAGATACGCAAGATAATCAATTTATTAATTGATTCCACATCACAGCACAACATGCAAACACACTCATGCAGTCTAACACAAATACTACATACAAGTAATCATCTGCATTTAAAAGCGGACATTACATCCAAACACACCCCTGCAATCAAATGCAAACATTACATACAAACTCACCCCAGTATTAAAACACAAAAATTATATACACCCCTTCAATTTATACACCATCACTATACATTCTAGTTTTACTATAGCACCAGTATATGCCTCAACGCTGTACAGATATACATCCTAGAACTTTGGTTTGACTTGGGGCGCCTTGGAAAAATATTGAATCTGACAATTATTAACACCATTGTGTAATATAATTAAAGAACTGCACAAAACAAATCAAAAAGCCAACTATGACCTGTTTTTAAGAAAAGTAATTAAGATATGTGTAGAAATTATTTAAAGTGGAACAGTTCAAATTAGCTTTTGATGCAGTGGGCTATGAAGCATTAAGCATTAAACTGATTGTAGAACATTAAAAACATTTAATTAACTTCTAAATCAAAACATCCTTAATTAAATGTAGCTATAGTTTTAAAACACAAGGATTAATTTGCTAAACTCTTAAGATGATGACATCGCCACTCGGGATCTGGTGGCCATAGCTGTCACTAGTGGCGGCTGTTGGAATTGACAAGGGTTGAGTGTGGTAGCTCAGACTTGTGTCAAGCTTTGTCAAGTGTTGGAAAAACACAGACAATTTAGTCCCAATTTTGTCTCAGTATATCTTTTGACTGGGTTGGAATTTCAGCTATTCCATCTTTAGGAAATACTATTCAGAAGGCTTTAATGTTCCTTTTTTTCAGTCATTTTCACACCGCAAGTTGTCGTAGTTCTGGTATTCCTTTAAATAAAATGTTTGCAAAGAGGTCCCTGCCTGCAATAGTGACCACTGCAAACCCAGGTATTTCTGCCACTGCTCCAAGACACTCTCAAACACAGAGACGCACACTAAGTCACAACAAAAAATATATGCAATGTTACAAAGTGTGATCAACAGTGTTGGCATTGTGGATACTGCTAGTGAGTGCATTATTAAAGGGGTGTTTTTTTTTTTTTTTTACTAAACATTGAGTAGTAGTGAATTAAAAAAAAAAAATAATAAAATATAGGCAAACATAGCTGACTGAATTTTTGAAAAAAGAGCCATAAGAGGTCTAGTGTGCATTGATGATCACAAGATTTTTAAGAACTATGGGAGATGCAGTATTTGATTGCAATCAAGTAACCGCTAAAAGTTGTGGGGAACATAATGTGTAAATAGCAAATTTCAATATTTCACCATTTGACTCATGAATTTGGATAATGTAACATTTAGGCATACCATTTGCAAAAAAAAAATGACAACTTGGACTTTTTCATATTGAGTATTTTGAGTCTTTTCACTAGACAAGTGCCTGTCAAATTTTGCGTTTTTAGTTTTTGTTTTTTTCACATTTACATTGAATATTTAACTGTAAATTCCACATGGATTGTGTATTCTACTAATTCAATGACCCTAGATTTGTATCTTGCATTATCTCCCAAGCATAGTAATACCTTACATGTACACCTTTGCTAGGTTTTGAGAGATTTTATGGAATTAAATTAGCATGTGCCTGGCTTCCCAGAGACAGTAACAAATTGAAGGCAAGCAGGAAATGATAGATGAATGGAAAGAGAAAATTATGGTATTGTGGGTGAGGGAATTCACACATGCCGCAAACGGTGATATAATGAATGGAGAGAAGCAGTAAATTCTAATATAACTGAGAAAAACAAAATATGAGAACTCTGTGAACAGGCAAAACATCAGAGAAAATAAATATAAAATAAATCAAAGGCATGTCCACAAATATATGAAAGATTCTTGTGGGGGATCAAAAAACATATTGATCCTCACCTCAATCTTCATCATACTGGGAGTAATAAGTAGCAGCACAGTGCTTTGTAATCGTTTTCAGAAATTAGGAAAAGGGCAATAACACAAAAACACAAAAGCATATTACAAGAAAAAAATGTATAGTGTAGTATCCAGAGCACACATAGAAATGTATAGTAAGAAGATATATGGCAATCACATAGAGGGAACTTCTCAAAAGTTCTAGTTGTACAGCATTGAGCAGTATAATCCCCGCTCTGGGATATGTCAACAGTAGGTGTCTCCAAGTTGGAAACAGCATATAAAACACACAAAAATATATATATATATATATTGTGCTTTCTGAATGTATGAATCAATATAAAGATGAAAACATTTACAATTTGTATTGTACCTGCTCTAGTTCTTAAGTGTAGGTGGCATTATCACCATCAAGGATCTGTAAGCAGTCCAAATGTACTTCAATCAAATCCAAAATTCTTGCTTCTCTTGGAACTCAGTTGTCAAATCAGGATGTAAACGATCCAGACAAGTTTTAAGACGCCGGTTCATAAGGAGCTCTGCTGGACCACTACCGGTGCTTGAGCAAGGTGTCACATGTTGTTGCAGAAGGAAATTTGCAAGTCTACGATTCCAATCTCCTTCAATAATTCTCTTTAATGAGTCTTTTGTAGTCTGAACCATACGCTCAGCTTGACCATTTGATGATGGATGAAATGGTGCAATCGTAACATGTCGAATAAGATCACTTGCCATGAAAATTTTTAATCCTGATTAGGTAAGTTGTGTTCCATTATCAGACACAATTGTATCTGGCAACCCATGTGTAGCAAACAGCCTCCTTAGAATCTTTATGACTGTGACTGAGGTAGCAGATGTAACTTGAACAACTTCTAACCATTTTGAAAACATTTGTCCATGAAAAGGGCCAGCAAAATCTGGGAACGTACGCAACGTGATGACGTAACGCGTGCGAAGAGGTGGGAGGGTCCGGAGGAACGGAGAACGGGCGGTGAGCGGGCAGAGAAGCGTGGAGGAAAGTACACACGCTGAATATGTTTGGCGGCTGTTTGGCGGCTATTTGACGACCGGAAGAAACGCTGCTGGGACAGAGGCCGATAAGGAGAATATTAATTAAACTCATATACTGAGCATCTAAGCCTTGGCCGAGCTGCTACACTTTGCTTAATAAAAAGAAAAAAACTGTTGAAAGAGATAAACTGCCTTCGAGATATTTTCATGAGCTGCTGGCATACTGAATAGCCAAATGAAGACAAAGACAGATAAAAGTAAAGGAGGACTTCTTTATAATAATGAGATGGAAGCTGTAAATTTTGTGAGTATTGCAAAGTGAATTTCTCCCTAACCTCTTGATAAACTGCTTATATCTTAGACATATTTAAAATTCATATATTCTGTTTGACAACTGAGAGTTGCAATTAAAGCAAATGACAAGTTGAGGCTGATATATAAGCCTAATCAAATCAAATCAAAAAAAAGGGGGCAGAAAGAAAATAAAAGAAAGGATAAAGAAAGCAGAGAAGAAAAGGAAAAGAGGGAAGAGGAAGGGAAGGGAAAAAAAAAGAAAAAAAAGAAAAAAAAAAAGAAAATATAAAACAAACATTAAAACTGGCTTTAATTAAGGCAAGTAAGCTAAAACAACTGCTATAATAAGTTCCGAGAGGTACAAGCAGTGAAATTGCTATTATTAAATATATACATACTTTTCTATATAAGTAGAGTAAAGAAGAAGAAAGAAGAAAGAGAAGGGAAGCAAAATATAGCTTGTCAGCTTTTTTTTTTTTTAAGAACAAAATGGCAACTAGAAAAACTGCTATGGAAAAAAAGAAAGAAAATAAGGAAAATAAGTCAGTTCATCCAGTAGAAAAAAGGATGTCCGTTTTTTTTTCGACCCCATCAAAAGACATACAAGAACGTAAAAGTGATAACGAAACAAATCCAGTAAATATTCTTAATACCAATATGGATCCTTCAATGATGCAAGAATTATCATCAGTTCCTGAAACAATGAAAGAAATTCTACAGGATCAGCTTAAATCACTATTAGAGGCTCAATTCAATATGCTAAAACAAGATATGCTTAAGAGTCTTGAAGATATAAAACAAGATACTAACAGAATTGCTATATCAGTGCAAGCTATGGAAAAAAAATTGTCTTGTTCGACAATCAATTAGGCACAGTTAATGAAACAGTGCAATCATTAACAAATAAAACTTCAATCTTGGAACATAAAATAGCCGCCCTAGAAGACAGATCAAGACAATTTAATCTAAGACTTAGAGGAATACCTGAAGATATAACAACAGAGAAATTAAAAGATTATTTATGCTGTCTATTTAAAGAAGTCTCTCCTGAGATAACTGATTATCAAATAGAAAAATTTCATCGAATACGAAAACCTAACGTAATTGCAGCACATTTCCCAAGAGATGTTATAGTGAGCTTCCGTTCATTTTCAGCTAAAAACAACTTGATTAAGGCCAGACGTACTAACCCCTTAGAAAATCCTGTCTATAAAGATATATACTTTTTGCAAGATCTATCTTATTTTTCTAGAACATGGAGGAAGTCTTTCTCAACTCTTACGGACTTTCTGAGGAAAAAAGACATTAGATTTCAGTGGAATACTCCGGCTTCCTTGAAATTCACTTGGAGACAAGAAAGACTTTCCTTCACTGACCCGGAAGAAGCGAAAAGTTGGTTAGCAAGAATTCAAATATGAAAACAATTAGACTGCGGAATTTTTTTTTTTTTTTTTTGATATATGTAATCTTTCAATGTCAATTCTAAGAAGGAAGAGAATCTATTATTATAACGTTACATAAGAAAAGTAGTTTTTATATGCATATAGTTGAAGCTTACGCTATTTGCAATGCATAACAATAGCATCTTCAATATTCTTTATGCATACTGCTGCAGTTTAGGATATTTGTAATGTATAAAAGCACATGAAAACAATGTGAAGTTGTTGAAGTAAAAGGAGACACAATAGTCTTTATAAATATCTGTTCACATTTTAGTTAAGACGGCCGTAGGGTGGGAGAAAGAGAAAAGAAATGAAAAAGAGGACTACCCATTAGGCTGTTAATATATGTGTTTCTTTCTTGCAGGAGATTTTTTTTTTTTTTTTTTTTTGTAAAAGAGGACAAAATTTGTTGAAATTATTTGCACATATATTAGCAAGAAAAGGGGAATGGGAAGAGAAATAGAAAGAAGATAGAATGGAAAGATAGATTCACTAAGGAGTTTATTTTTAGAAATAAAGGTTGTTATTTGCTATATACGACACATGTAATTATAATTAACACTAATAAGAAATAATGAGTTGGTTCAATAAGGTTAAACTTGCTAAAAATTAAATTTGTATATAGGTACACAAGATTGAATTAGAAAAACCGTATGGATTGACTCACTTATCACTGCATATAAAGGGCACAGAAAGAAGAAATAGGGAAAAAGAAAGGTCACATGGAAATAATGTAATGGAACACGATGATAAATGGATCATTATAAATATTTTTCACTTAATTGACACTTATTTTATAATGGCTATATTTAACTGAGTGATTAGGGTTTTTTTTTTTTTTTTTCTCTCCCTTTTGTTGTAAAATAGACTGAAGGGTTTTATTATAGAACATCGCCCAAATCCCAAATCCGGACAATCCTACTTAGTGTCTATTTAATAGACATAGGACTAGACAGACTCTCCTGTTGGTGAGTCAATAGTCTATGTGCTTAAGGAGGATGATATCCTCCTATAGTTTTAGATATAGGTTTTTTTGTTTTTTGTGTGTTTGTATAGCAATAGAGGATCAAAGGGAAGTTTACTATCTCGAGATGAAAGGAAAGAGATTTGAGAAACTCTAATGATAAGAATGTTAACTCTTAATGTCCAAGGTATGAATACAATAACAAAAAGGTCTTTAGTATATAAATATTTGGTCACTGAACATATTGATCTGGGATTTCTGCAAGAAACCCATTGGAGACAGTCAGATAAACAAACGTGGGGTGGAAAAAAATTCCCGCTTATTATACAAGCCTCAAATAGAGATAAAAAAAAATGTGGTGTAGCCATAATATTCAGTGAAAAAATAGAGGTAGAAATAATTCAACAAATACAAGATGTAGAAGGTAGATACTTGATAATAATATGTAAAATCAATTCTAAGATATTTACACTCTGTAATGTCTATCTCCCAAACTATTCACCAGCTTCTCACTTAAGATCTATCTTAGAAAAAATAGAAGAAGTAAAAGTGGGAAACTTAATATTGGCTGGAGATTTTAATGCAGTTATCGACCCACAATTAGATAAAAAAAAACTATGAAAGGAATTAAAATAAATAAGATGGTAATTAAACAAGCTAAATCCTTAAAAAACATAAAGGATGAATTTAATTTGTTCGACATTTGGAGGATTCACAATCCAAATCTAAGAGATTATACACACTTCTCTAAAGTCCATTTTTCTTATTCAAGGTTAGATATGATTTGGATTGATCCTAATCTAATCGATAAAATTCAAAAAGTAAATATAAATGAAGCAGTTTGGACAGATCATAACGGTGTAGTATGTGTAATAGAAGTAGGAAAAAACACAAAAAAGCCATATAGTTGGCGTCTAAATGACAGATTGCTTAGTTTTGAAACAAATAAAAAATTCATGGAAGTAAACATAGGTAATTATTTTAAAGAAAATAACACAGAGGATATTGATCCATCCACTTTGTGGTGCGCTTTTAAAGCGGTAATAAGAGGTTATTTCATTAAACTCCAAAGCCAAACCGATAGGGGTACTAGTCTATCTCACCTCTATGGTCAGTTAGGGAAGTTGACCCAAAACAATAAACATAATCCAACAGTTGAAAATTCCGAAGAAATATCGGCAATAAAGGACAAAATTAACCAAAAATTAATGGAAAGAACAGTTAAAAGCTTAGATAGATTAAAATTAAAATATTATTCTAAGGGTAATAGAGCCGACAAACTGCTATCACAAAAATTAAGAAAACAAAAGGGTATAAATAAAGTAGAAAAACTTATTAACAACGGAACAACTGTAGTAACTCCAAAACTAATAGGACAACAATTCAATGATTTTTATAGTAAGTTATACAACATTCCTCAAACTACGACAGATGAAGATATAAAAAAATATCTAGAAAAAATAAACAAGTTCAAATTAACAGAATCACAAAGTGAAGCAATAAATAAAGATATAACTATAGATGAAATAATGAAAGCTATAAATAATTTGGAGGAGTATAAAACCCCAGGTCCAGATGGATTTAGTAATTTATTTTATAAAATATTCAAAGAATCAATTTGCCCTTATATGACTAGTGCCTTTAACAGTGCGGCTAAAAGAGGATCTCTTCCAACAGAGATGTTAAATGCTAATATTCTACCAATTTTAAAACAAAACAAAAACCCTACTGATGTTAAAAATTACCGTCCAATATCCTTGATAGATGTTGACACTAAACTATATGCTTCAGTGTTGGCCGCTAGACTTAAAAAACTTTTACCACTGATCATACATCAAGATCAAGTAGGTTATGTTCCTGGCAGAAACTCTTATACATGTATTAGAAAAATTGTCAACATCTTAGATGACGCTAATAGAAAAAGAGTTCCAGTTTTGGCTCTGTCGATTGATGCTGAAAAAGCATTCGACAGAGTCAACTGGATTTATTTGGAGGCAATATTGTCACACTATGGTTTTGACGCTGGTCTGGGTGCCTAGAGTGGTCCTTTAAACATAAGTGTCCTCTGAATTTACCATATTTTACTGGTATAAAACAAGCCCCTTTAACATCCACAGCCTGTTTGTTGTAGTCCACGAGATGAATATCACAAGGTTCTATTGAAGGAGAATTATGAGGCCATAACAATTTCAGTGTAAATCAAATTTCCACTGTATTCACATAGTCATTTGAGTAAACACCTGCAGTCATTTCACTATCTGAAACGGTATGTGGAGTATTAAAAGAGTGCGCTGTGGTTTGTATTTTATTCACATTCTTATATTTGGTCTGAATTCCACTGGCTTGTCTTTGGCAAACTGTCTGTATGTGACCTGTACGTTTACACGTGTGGCAAACTGCCCAGTTCTGCGGGTGCAAGGACCCTCAGACGCTTGTGTGTCTCCGTTTAGTCTGAGACTCTCTGAGAAGGAGGAGAGGTGCCTGGTGGACTTCTGTCCACCATGAATCACTCCAGATGCATTTTGAATGTTTTGTATGGATAGGTTGGGAAAGACTTGCAATTTTTGTGGGGAATGTCCCATCGACTTCATTCCTTCCTGGGGAGTGGATGTGATGAAAGTCTTGCTATTCCATGTGATGAGAAGCTTTATGGGGAAACAGGGCTCGAGTCCTGCAGAAATGTGTGGGAACAGCGTTTCTGCACTTTTTTCACAGCAGGAATGCCGTTCCCGTTAGTAGTCCACCCAGTGCTGTCCTGCAGTCAGTCTTGGTGTGATAATAATATTCCATATTAATTAAGAATGATTGATTGATCACTATTGAGCAAATTACACTCTTATAGATAGTTAAGATGTCGCCGGTATGCACACACAGGCAGTATCACTAGATGCAGGCCTGGATGCCACAGCTATTAACACACAGCGCTAAAATTTTTATTAAAACCACAAAACACAACATCAGAATGACCATCACAAAATAATTATTAGTACATAACTAGCTTTTAGATAAGAGATAATTAACCGCACAGACCTTGCATGGCATTGTTGGTGGTCCTGAACAGCCAGGCCAGCTGCCGGTCCCATCCAACACTTTTGCAAGGTCTTTACTGGGCTGCACTGATAAGGAAACTTGGTGGAAAAGTACAGACTATCCATCCCATTGGTAAAAAAGATATAAAAGACAAGAAAACTTGGCACTCGCTTGGAGTACTACCCACCTGTATTACGGTTGTGTATAGCTGGTTCTGCTGATTCCCAGTAAGAGAGGGTCCCTTCAAGCCTGACTGCCGGAAGTTCTTTCAGTCATGTGCAGCGGAGTGACAATCAAACTTCCCTAATGGTACTGTATAACTTAAGCTGAATATCTAGATAATTAAACTGTTTCCTTAAGCTGAATGTGTACTATAGATGAAATATTATTACTTATTAATTAAGTCTCTGTTAATCAGTAAAGTTTGTATTGATTATTTACAAGTACTTGGTGTCAGTGTCTTTCCCTTTCTCAAATACTCAATTCACTCATCCAGAATCAGGTTTTGGTGCCCACCAATATCTTTGAAAACCTTAGGGTAACTGATTATTGCTTTTTGATATTGGCGCTTTCTGAATTTAATGATTAGGAACAACACTTGGTGCACATGGCGGCTGATGTTAAATCTCTCTCTCTGCTGTGTGTGCGCATACTCCTTGGGTTTTGCAGCAGAGTAGCGAGCAGCTTTTCCTAGTCTGGGATTTGGCTGTGCATGGATCTGGTTTAAAGGATCTCCTGCCCTGCAAGCTGCAGCCCTGTCCCAGGCTCCCTGACTGGTACTCCCAGCCCTGGGGTAGGCAGGCTGTATTGGCTGGGCTCAGGGGGGCAGTTCGAGGGATCCCTGCAGCACATGTGGGTGAAGATTCCAGTCTGCTGACTGCTACACGCTGGCTGTGTGTCCTCTGGGGCTGTTGGGGGTCCAAATGTGTGGGATTTTTTTTGGATTTGTGCTGACTCCTGGATTTGGGATATTTTTTTGGAAGTGCCCTACACAACGTCCCCTCTCCATCTGGGCAGGAGTGCCCCCTACAGGATGAGGAGACCGGGATACAGGGGGATCTGGCTGGTCCTGGGTGGATCGTGGGTGAGTTCCCACACTTTTTTCCCCAGGACTTGACCCCTGGGAAACCCCACTTGTAGGGTGCTTCTTGTGAACAAAGGTTGATGTAACAAGGTGTGTGACGAGTTTTATCAATACATATGTGTGCTCTGCTTGGCATCCACACTCTACCCAGCATATCATTAACTGTTTTAAGAGATTTTTAAACAATCGAGACATTATTAATTAAAACATTTTTTTTTAAAAACATAGAATGTGCTGGCACTCTTCTACTGGATGGTGCTGGTATTGGAGGTATTCCCCAACCTCAAAATAATATACAAAAATCCATAAGTTCAATACCACACTCAAATATGTGACTTTATGAAAAAAGAGTTGAGAGTCAATTGATGTATATGCAAAAAAGGAAAATTTATTTATTATACAATAATTATGTGCACCAGTTCATGGGTAATATATGAATCACTTTAGTAATTTGATGATAACCTTATGAATTCATTGATTTCACAGACTTCATCATATATACATCCCATAATATCTACAGTTATTTACAGTCCATGTACACAATATATATGGAGTTCGATAGTTCATTGATGTTCAGATGGATCCACCACTACATGGTTCTCTATGTTTGGAAAAATGTTTATACAACACAGAAAAATTTTGAAAAATGAAAAAATGAAAAAATATATGAAAAAAATAGAAAAAAGGGAAAAAAAACTGTAAAAATAAGAAATATTGATAATTGAATGTTCAATGTATATACAGAAAATAAGTTGGTTGGATCTCACCAATTGAGGATTGCAATCCCAGACTTCAAATTATCAAATAGTAATAGGATGTCCAATAGTTGTTAGATAGGATGTGACACCAGAGTCCGTTGATCCGCAGACCGGGAAACCAGGGTAGGCTCCTATAGTGGGTATTTCCAATATCAGAACTCTTGTTGCTAGGCTTGTTGCTAGGCTGTGCTGGGCATGTATAGCTGCTTGGCTGCTCTCTCTCACGTCCTGCTCAGTATGTAAGCGCTGGGCTGCGCGCTCGGGTATTTATCACCAAATAGAACGGCAAACAGCCGACTTCCGTATTGGTGTGATGACGTGCTGTCGTAACCACGCGTCATCCCGTCATGTGGCATGGTATCAATAAAACAAACTTTATTGCTACTATTACATACAATCTATTCCAGTAACATAATGTATTGAGCGGAACATAATGAAATGAGCAGAATAATCATTTCAAAGTATAACTGAAGGCTAAATTCTTGCCTAAGGGGAAAAGTAAAGGAAGGGGAATTGCACACAATACATCCCTGTGTGGAATGGTAAAATGGAAAGTAATAAAGACCATGTAATTTAGTGCCCAATAGGACACCTAATATTTATCCTACTTTACACTGTATTGTAAGCTTTAGTTTATAGGTAACGATCCTATCAGAACACCAGGTAGTGCAAGAGTATATGGTATGCAAATTGAATATAGAGACCAGTAACTAAATGTATAGAGATCAACCCTGTGCCCTAACTGGCTAAACAGTGATTTGTGTGAGAGGCAAATAAGGCCGTATAGGAAGCGTACCAAGAGTAGCATAGTTAAAGGGGAAATAAGTCGGTTGAGGTGTGCCGGAACCGCTGTTGCGGCGGCCTGTAATAAAAGAGGGCCCACCCATGAGGTGTAATGAAAAGTATAGATAGAAGGAGTGGAGGGTGGGGACATGCGAATTGTTAAAATCACGTATGGGACGGAGAAAGGTGAGTAGGGGGGTTTAAGTAGGGTAACATTCCCCTCCCACAACTGCAGGCCAAGCCTTTGCATTTGTGTGAGGGGCAAATAAGGCCGTATAGGAAGTGTACCAAGAGTAGCATAGTAAAAGGGGAAATAAGTCGGTTGAGGTGTGCCGGAACCGAGGTCACGGCAGGCCTGTAATAAAAGAGGGCAAAAATGATACATGCCAGAAACGTAGAACAATCAACAACTGATAAGAAACCCTTAATTGCCTAGCTATATGATAAATGCCTGTTGAAGATCTTGGCGGTACGTGGTACATATGGGGAATATGCTGAGAACTTCCCTTGACCTAAAGATGAAATATACGGACCAAAATGAACTAGATTGAGGCCATGAATGCCACCCTATCCTAGAGGGGTGACCAGAATAGTAGGACGGATTAAATCTAGCCTCACAGTCAATGAACCAAAGAATAGTAAATATGTGGTAGTGCGAGGACTGGCCCCAAGTAGTGATATCTGTGATTGTGAGGCTAGATTAGAAAGATAGAGCAAGTAGGTGCCCATTTTCTTGCGGTTGATCCAAAAGAAGGCAAAAAAAACAGTTTGAAGCACTACAAATTTTGCAACAAGCTAGGGAAAAATTCTTTCTTGACCCCAGAATGGCAGTCAGATTTATCTTTGGATCAAGCAGTTATTACCCTACATTGAAGGTTAGTGCCTGGTATGTAAGGACTGGCATGTAGTAGGTCTGATAATGATTGAACTAATTGGATGCTGATGGGAAATCTGTAAGATTTTCCTGGGAACCGGAACATAGCAAAAAGACAGTAACAGGATACGCGAAAAGGAGCCTCAAAGGAGAAGGCTCTAACACATGTACAGCGAGTGTTATAGAAAGAGCCAGACGTGAAAGATGACGACCACGAAACGCATGGAACGGCAGCGGCTACGGAAGGGACGAAGGCAGAGCCATGTGGAATGCGTAGAGGAGGCACAGGAGATATCGTATGAAAAAGGTGCAGGAAGTCTGGCTCTGATCCAGCCAGAGCGGCAGACCCCAATTACCCAAGTTGCCCTCCGAAACCGCCCCATAGGCAACAGTAGCGCAGAAGTAAGATCAAAACTCGGGGGCCCCCTCCAGCAACAGCGTTACCCGTGGAGGCGGACAGACGCTGAGAGTTCAGCTGTCTGAAAGGCTGCCGGGGAGGGAATAAGTTGACTTGCGAGAACCGCAGCGAAGCGAGGAAAAGACCAGGACACGAAACAAGTTAAGAGTAGCCGAAACCCCACAGTGTGATGAGTATCAGACCAAACCAGAGAGCCAGGGCGGAAAAAGTACCACGCCAGCGCCTGGCAGCGGAGACCCGCTAGAAAAGAGACGAAGAAAACAGCGCATAAGTGACCCGATGTGTGTGTGTGAGTGTGTACTGGCATACTAGCTAAAGCCAAAAGGTGAAACAATTAAGACTAGGTTTTGGTGACAGGTGAGGCCCTGCTAGATGCCAAGCGCCGTGAGAGGCTCTATCTATGCATTGGCACAAGGGGATAACATGGCCACTGAACGTTGTGGCAGGGTGTTAACTTCTCGGTGACAGTTAAACATAAGATAGAATGGGAGTGACAGGTGAGGCCCTCTCTATGCCACAATGCGAGGCGACTAACTATGATTTGGCCCGAGGGACGTAGTACCTCTGAGTATGAGGATGGGTGTTGGCCTCGCGGGACCACTAACCCAAGGCGAAGAAGCCCGGGGGAATTTACAACTAGTGGACACCTACGACCCTGACAGCCAGCCACATCTAACTTAGGATGTATCGTGGGACGAAAAACAAACAAAAGAAAAACAGATTTGCTGTTAGTAAATATGATCAGGCAAATCTGGTTGTGGTTGTTTAGTGAATACCCCCCTAGACCATAATAATTGAAAATAGGGAAGTCAGACAGTGAGTCCAATACACCATTATAAGCTAAAAAGTGTTTATGCACTGTATGCAAGTGTTTATGCACTGTATGGTGAACTGATAACCCAACCGCAAAAAATAAGGCAAAACCAGCTCAGTATAAAAGCCACAACTCTGCTATTGTGGCTTAACATTGAAACCCGGATTCCAGTGCACCACAACTTTGGTGGTATCAAATAAATGTGGGTGTTTAGAATTATTTCCATACTTAAAATAATGACATAGTACCAAAAGGTCTGTTGTCGGTTCGCAATGTGGTACGTAGATAAACCCCAGTGACTGGGAAAGGCCACCCACAGCTTAAAGGGTACATAGGATATATGTGAAATATCTGATTGTGTGGGAAGTAGAAACCCCACTGCCATCATTAAACCCTGAAAGCATTCCATACAATTACAGTTCCCTATGAACTTGGAAGCAGTGAAGACAATGTCTGCAGCACACAGGTTTAACAAGCAGAAAATTGCGAGTAATGAAAATTCAGAGATTGTGGAAATTAAAGCAAAATTGTGTAACCGAAAATTTGGGGGAGATTTGGACTAGTGCTATCTGCATCTCATCAGACGATGAAATAGCCGGTGTCCAAGTGCCTATCACACGTGTGCTGCAATTGCCAGCGGGCTGTTCATGGGAAGCTCGTTCCTGGAAACAGGCGAACGCAAAGCATGTGTAAGCAAAAGTGTGATTTGTGCGCCCGACCCAACCAGCAAGAGGAACGAAGGAAAACTTCCGAACTGGCAAACGACCTAAGGAAATCAACAAAAACATGCGAAAAGAATAGAGGGGGGGAGATACCCAAACCGTGAAGACGACGTGGGACTGCAACCGTGGCGCGATGGCAGGTTAAGTAACTCACTAATCAGAGGAGACGTCAGGACTGACAGCTGAGGCTCGGAGTGCCAGGGACAACGAGAGAGTCAGCGCAGAGCCCAGAAGGACCAAAGACAAACGATCAGCGGGGAAACAGCAGGCCAAGCCATGAAGACACAAGGACCAGATAAGGGGAGGAAAAATTACCGGAAATAGCGACATGCGTATCGCTAAAATCACGTACGGGACGGAGGAAGGTGAGTAGGGGGGCTTAAGTAGGATAACATGCCCCTCCCACAACTGCAGGCCAAGCCTTTGCATTTGTAAGACATCCACCAATTCTATAATGTAGTAGCCAACAGGTGATACCAGTTTGCTCAAATATATAAAATCTCTAGAGTATGCATACACTCTACTACTGACTGGTGTTGGAATTGGAGGTAAACATAGAAAGATAGAATGTGACGGCAGATAAGAACCATTCGGCCCATCTAGTCTGCCCAATTTTCTAAATACTTTCATTAGTCCCTAGCCTTATCTTATAGTTAGGATAGCCTTATGCCTATCCCACGCATGCTTAAACTCCTTTACTGTGTTAACCTCTACCACTTCAGCTGGAAGGCTATTCCATGCATCCACTACCCTCTCAGTAAAGTAATACTTCCTGATATTATTTTTAAACCTTTGTCCCTCTAATTTAAGACTATGTCCTCTTGTTGTGGTAGTTTTTCTTCTTTTAAATATAGTCTCCTCCTTTACTGTGTTGATTCCCTTTATATATTTAAATGTTTCTATCATATCCCCCCTGTCTCGTCTTTCCTCCAAGCTATACATGTTAAGATCCTTTAACCTTTCCTGGTAAGTTTTATCCCGCAATCCATGAACCAGTTTAGTAGCCCTTCTCTGAACCCTCTCTAAGGTATCAATATCCTTCTGAAGATACGGTCTCCAGTACTGTGTACAATACTCCAAGTGAGGTCTCACCAGTGTTCTGTACAATGGCATGAGCACTTCCCTCTTTCTACTGCTAATACCTCTCACTATACAACCAAGCATTCTGCTAGCATTTCCTGCTGCTCTATTACATTGTCTGCCTACCTTTAAGTCATCAGAAATAATCACCCCTAAATCCCTTTCCTCATATGTTGAGGTTAGGACTCTATCAAATATTCTGTACTCTGCCCTTGGGTTTTTACGTCCAAGATGCATTATCTTGCACTTATCCACATTAAATGTCAGTTGCCACAATTCTGACCATTTTTCTAGTTTACCTAAATCATTTGCCATTTGGCTTATCCCTCCTGGAACATCAACCCTGAAAAAAAATAATTTGCTAGAATTTGCTAGATTCAATCCATACCATAGTTTGTTATACGAGTTGTGGAGTACATTTCCCTAAGAATTTTAGCTTTCTGGTATTCCCCACAACAACCCTAAAATGAGTCTAGGTGGATATATGAACTGAAGACGCTCCAACCGTTAGGGTTGAACGAAGGCTTTTCATTTGCACTGTTCATTTAACCATCTATAAGGGATTGCTTCGACTCATGAGCCACCTGGATATTGTCCCTTGATTATATTCTATATCTAATGTTTATCCATTTATTTACTCTACCTGCCAGCCATAATTATTATTATAATAATAATGGTGTGGATCACTTGTAAATATTGTTTAGGCTTATGTATTATTTGTTCCCCTGACCTCCCTGTTGGTTATCCCCTTCTTCATATAGGACTGTTTGTCTTACGTTTTTTCTCTATAACATTTTGATTTATGCTTTAAAACCATACTTTTTGGACATAATAAATCGAAATTGAATAGTGAACAACTATCCACCTAATAATTTGACAACTGGTTCATACTTTCTATCCTACTTGAATATAATCTTTGTAGTAAAAATGGTCTGATATTCTATCTAATTAATTATACTCTATGCTAATGAGTTAAAATTGAATAAAGATTAATTAACTCCTTTGATACATATACACCTTTATTTAACTCATACATTAGGGACTCTGAGAAATACTCTTATTGAGCTGATAAAATGTGGGCTTTATTCTACTTTAGATAAATATATTCTTCATATATATTGTAAAGTTCATAGTATTGGACGATCATTGTGCTTATAATTCAGTGTATACAGCCTTTACCGTGTTCTGGTTGAACACAATACACTTCTCCCGCTTAGTACACACGCACATATTTTTTCTAAGTCCTCACGCATGCGCGGACTTTTGGCTTCTCGTCCTTTTTGGACTTTGTAGCCTACCGTAGTACTCCCAATCTGAATGGGAGATTACATGCCAATTCTTATAGGTGGATTGTTCGTAACTAGGTTCCAGGACTTATTAGTAGGAGGGGCAATGATCTTTATAACGGGTGAGTGGGAACGGGGACCTTCTTATTGCACTATATGCCCTTGAGAAAGGCGGTTTACCCGTCGAAACGCGCGTTGGGCAATTTCTTGTTTCTTTTGATGTTGCTATACTGTTTTTGCAGCATTTCGCTAATGGTGATTTTCTTTTGTGTGTTTTTTGTGCTGTATAACCTGTTATACTGACCGGCTGGTTTCTTCTAACAGTTGGGGCACCTATTTGTATATTAGGGGTATCCCCAGTGGAGGTGTCCTTGTTTTTTTTGTTTTCCATTTCTGTGGACCCCCCTGTGGACTATTTCTCCTTCACTCTTTATTTTCCTTTGTACTCTTTATTCTGTCCTTTCGATTTCTTATCTTTTATGATAGGAATTTTTGGGGCAATTTTTTTGAATTAGTATTTTTTGAATTAGAAGGGGACTTATGTGCTACCCTCTGTTGATTTATGTATTAATATACAGCACACTAATTCTATGGCAACCATTCACATTTCCTTATACTGTGGACGCATAATGATACTTTGTTCCCACGTATAATTACTACTATATTTGCTACAAATGTGGTAACTCTGTCTCAAGCCCTCACAGACTGATTCAATTGTGACTGATTGCTGGTACCATTCAGTTTATACACACCCTAACAGTTTTTTCTACTTTGTGAAATGCTTAATTAATTTATATGTGCAACGTATATTCTATTAAAGTTTTTTCTAGTGATACTAGCCTGTAGAACTATACATTTCTTTAAGGGTGGTTCTAGTGGGAGGATTCCCCTCGTCGTGTTATGCAAGGATTCCTCCTTACTACAATTTTTCTTTTCTAATTGTATATGTAGGGTTATGCCCTTTTCTCTACCTCTGTATCCCAACTTTTATACTACTGGCTAGGGTTTAGTAACCTTACCTGGTGGTATTTCTTTTGTATATTATTCTCAACATTGGCATTGCAGATACAGAGATAGGAATATAAGCTCCAAGAATGTGTAGCCATATTTTTAACAACGACTTTTGTACTTGAGGCAGTTTTTCCACCAGTAACAATTATATGAGCCCTGCAATTAGCATTATTTGGAAATTAGGAAAGCGTTTTAAACACTTTCTAAGTTGGCAGGGTGTTGTTGTTCGTTTTTTTTTAATTCTTTATTTTTGCAGTGCAAAACAAAATAAGTCATAACAGCAGGCGTGTGGTGCCCCAATAGCATTCCTCACGCTGAATATCAACATTTTTAACAATGGGGTTTTCATAAATCCTTGCACATTTTTTTGTTATTTAGTCGAGATTGTCCACGTTTAAGCTTTACGCTGAGTATTCAGTTAACAAGTGGGCCTGGGTAGGTCTTACGAAATCTCGGCGGCACAGTGCGTTCTAAGCTTTGTAGAGCTTTTGGTCTAGTCACTGGCTTCTCTAGCTGCTCTAGGACAGTTGAAAATTTTTTTTTTACATTGCTGACTGTAGTATTTCAAGTTATATAGTTAAGTCTAGACTAGACAACAAGTTGTGTGAAACAATACTAGATTGGCATACGTTTAAAAGTAGATGGTTGTAAAGATAGTTACACTAGTTATTAGATGCAAGATATGAGAGTTACGGTTATACGTTTTAGCGTTAAAGTCAACAAGAATTCTTGCAGTGCCACAACAGCGACTGCAGGCGTATTTTGAACATCAGGTTGCTTTGGCATGCAGTTAAAACAGCACAAATTTTGTTATTTTTCATGTAAAATTAACCCGCTATATAAAACAAGTATGTTAGTGCATAGATTACTTTGCTAGACAAAGAGTTACAGACCTTCCATCAACAAGAACAATTGCAGAGTATGCATCTGAACTAAAAGCTGGCTCATCAATCAGGTTATAGGGCAATTATAGCTTAATCGCTTCAGGTTACAAGCTCTGTGCACTCCTACATAAACTAACGTAGGGCAGGTTACAGATGTTAAGTTAAACGCAGGCTTAGTTATTATAGCTAACGCAATGGGTCACGATGGGATCTACATGTTTATGCTAGTAGATGTAAATTGTAGCTTAAGTAAATGTGGGCTTATAAGAAAGTTACACGGTTAAACTTCGATTTTACCACTGCCAGAGTAGGTAGGCGGGCGGCCACCGGGGCTGAGTGTATTCCTATATTATTAGGTATTAATAATAGACATAGTAGTATAATTGTATGGCTATGGTATATGATAGAACACTTTTTAGGTGACAAGAGGTATATAGGTAGCTGATGTAAAACTGCAGCTTCTCTTATTTAGTCAGTGTCCTGCGGTGGTGTTAGAGTCTCTGTGCTGGCATGTGTGACTCCTTCCCTTCGGACACTGATCCCTCACCACGGCAGTTCAGCTTCACCAGTGCTCTTCTGTGTGTGGTAAGTCTCCCCATATCAGGCTTGTGTAGGTCCGTTTGGCCGTTACACGCTGCAGCACACTTTCATTTCGCGCCTTTTGCACTTGGCCCCACCTGGGGATATCCATTGCGGGCCCGGGGTCTCTCATTCTCCCAGATCGCGGTGATCATGTCTGCGGTATTCTTTTACTTGAAGCCCTCCAGCAGGGCAGATGAAGGAACCGTGGTTTAAAAGGGGCTCCGTGGTGCAGGAGCAGATAATGTTCAGCTGTCTGCCGCCGCCATTTTGTGAGGCAGTTAGAGAGTCTCCCCTCAGCAGCCGCCCGTCTCAGGCTCTCCTCAGTGGGGACCGGGATGACCCCCCCGGTCCAAAGGGGGGGGAAACAGGGCCGGCAAGCAACTCAGGCAGTCAGCTTGTGGCAGCAGGGGAGGGAGACGCAGCGGCGGCCGTCCACCACGCTCCCTCCCGGGTAGGCCGCAGCCCTCGAAGCTCCGTGCCCCCTTCAGAGGATCAGAACTCCCGATCTCGGGGTCTGCCGCTGCTCCCACAGCTGTGGGTGTCTTTTGGCCCGTTTTGTGTGTGAAGTTCCGCTGTAAATAGCTCAAAAGGCCGGGTTTCCCCAGAGCCTCTCCTGCATGCGACCGGTTAGCATGGCGGTCCGGCCCCGCCCCCGTTGTTGTTCTTTTTAAACACACTCTAATAGAATAATGCTGTCTTAAGACCATAGAACCAAATTAAAAGACAAATCCTAACTGAAGTGCTTAAGAAGGCAGGAAAACATAAATTACTGTTTTTCACATATATGTGAAATCACATATAAATTCACATTTAGATTACACAGAATGTTGCACCCGTGTACTGCACAAACATCACAGAGTCATGCGCGTGATCTTAGCAGACAGCTGAGTATGGACAAAGTTTGCATGATTGTGATGAGGGAAGGGTAGTGGGGGGCGTCTCAAACCAGTTATGCCAGTACAGAGGGAACGCTCTTATCGTAGAGTATAGATTTTACCTTTCCTCAGTTTTTCCAATTCTTATATTGTAATTGTTATTATTCTAATTATACATATATTGCCAAGGTAACTAAATTTTTGTTTAAAAACGTACTCACATGCTCTTATTTGTTTGTGCAACAGGTGATCTGAAAGAGCTGTTATTCCCACTGGATGAATAATTTCCCATCAAATCTCCTGCGATTCATTATCGCACCGACAATGCACACGATATTTTTTAATGAATGATATTTAAAGTTCTCATAAATGGATATTAAAGGGGACCTGCATTGTCTCTGAAGTTCACAGCACTGAGTGAAACCTGGAATTCACAAAATCATCTGTAACTGTTGTTAACCCTTTTTAGTGAGATGCAGTACCCCATCTTCTTTTAATTTATATTACAGATTTAGCAAATGACATCATAATCCATTAAATCAGTTTCCAAGCTGTTATCAGGGACCCTGTAACAATTCAGACACTTGTTATAAGCTTGACTAGTGTCGCTGAGGGCTCCTTCCACCCTGGACCAGGCTGGTATCGTTCCCTCTGCCTTTGCCTCTTCACTCCTCTCCCAGAGAGGTAACCATACCTCTGCCTACACTGTGACCAGCTACTGCCTTTACAAAGGCACTTGTGGCTCTCAGGCCTAGATCTTTTTTACTTGTCCCAGGAATCAAGAACCAAAGCAACCAGCCAACAGGTCCAAAGACTTTGTTACTGGGTTTCCTGCATAAAGCAACCAGGACACACAGTTCCTAATGGAACTAACACATCAGAATTTTCATTCAGGACTAGCACATATGCACATTACATCAAACTTACAATGACAAACGCAATGTAATTCCTATTTAATAACCAAACGGGAAAACATATAGAAACACATAATCACACAATAACATATGTAAAAAGGGGTGGGGAAGGCAATAACTAACACAAAATATCTCTCCTGTCTGCCTGTTCTACCACAATATGAAAATTAAGAGCCTTGCTATTCAGGGAGTGCATTTAGCTTTACTAGCAAACCAACAGATGGCGCTGTGCAGACTCCACAGCTAAATTCACCTAGTTGATTGAGAGCATCAGCATGACATGAGAGCACACAATACATTTAAAATTAAACAAATACATTATACATGCCCTGCACCTTTAATGGGTACAGGGTGACTTAAACTGAGAGTCGTCCCACTTGTGCTCTCAGTAATGGTAAATACCATAACAATCCAGTTCAGACAAGGCAAAGCCAGGGCAATGAAACGTTGCAATGAAGAAGAAAAATAGAAACACAGTTTAATTTCTCCTCTCCTCCGCTCTGTAAGCACTGGCATCTTGCCTGACGTCTGTTGCTGTTATTTGGGGTTTTATCTGTAATAATTCCTTCTGATGTTATTCTGTGTTCTCATTTTTTCTTATTTATGTGAATACCAAAAATAAATCACTATATATACTGTGCACAAACAATATACAGCTAAACAAAAAGATGTCTCTCCAGCACGCAAAGAAAATATTAAACCCAAGAAAATATACATGAAAGTATATATGAAATGGGAGCTCAAAGAATGTATATAAATAAACAGAAATAACCAGAGTAGATCCAACTGTATACAACCTGGTATAACAAAATAGTAATAATAAATGGATTCAGTCTAAAGGGGAAACAAATATAGTGTATACAATTAAATACAATGTGGATGGGAAAGGGGAGGTAGAACCCTCACAAAATGCTTGTAAAAAGGAGGTAAATCCAGACATGTATCTCTTCTGTATGCGTTTAAGACTTTGTATCATGAAAATTGATACACATGCAGGTTTTTGATGAAAATCAGTTAACAGGATGAAACTTATGATACATTTGATGTTCTGATATGGTACATTGGATGTTCTGATATGATACATTGGATGTCCTGATATGATACATTGGATGTTCTGATATAATGAATTAGTTGTTCTGATATGGTACATTGGATGTCCTGATATGATACATTGGATGTTCTGATATAATTAATTAGTTGTTCTGATATGGTACATTGGATGTTCTGATATGATACATTGGATGTTCTGATATGGTACATTGGATGTTCTGATATGATACATTGGATGTCCAGAATACATTTTTGTGTATTGGAGATAACTGTTCAGTATATACTCTCAGGCACTTTTATCCAAATGATTAGCATGCCTCCCCTGCTACCCACCTCCTGCCTCTATTTGCAGTGCTCCTCCCTGCTCCATCTTGAACAGTCTCCCTTACTGTCAGCATTTCCCTCTGCTCACATCCTCGGCAACAATCCTGCTCACTGCACCCAGGCTGCCAGTGCCATCCCTCCTGCTAAATCCAACCACCGTGCCTCTACTTAGTCTGCCAGCCTGCCCCCCCCCCCCAACTCCTTGTGCCCTCTCTCCTGGCCCCTGGCAGTCACACAGACCCCCAGCACCTGGCACTACCCCCTGGCTACTGCCAGCCATGGAGAGCAAGCGCTGCTTTACCAACCCCTTCTCTGACTACAAAGGCAGCTTGCTGACCGGCCAGAGCTGTGAGTCTGGGGTCCCTCTCATCCTCAGGAAAGTGGAGAGCATTCTCCAGCAGCTGCCCACACAGGGGGGCCAGGAGGGCGGGCTGTATGGAGGGCTGGCCGGGGTGGCTTACATGCTCTACCAAGTCTCCCAAAGCAAGCTGTTCAGCTCTCAGAGGGAGAGCTACCTGCACAGAGCCTGCACCCTGATAGAGTCCTGTGTCCTTTACTATGACAATGAGCAGGACAGGGAGACCAGGGCATCCTTCCTGCTAGGTGGGGCTGGGGTCTATGCAGTGGCTGCCCTCATCTACAAAGCTTCTGGGCTCAAGGACTTCAATAAACCCCTCGAGAAGTTTAAGGAACTGTGGAGGATCTGTGTCCCCCTGGGCTTCCTGGAGTGTGGCTCAGATGAGCTTTTTGTGGGGAGAAGTGGCTACCTGTGTGCTGCCCTGGTGATTAAACAGAAGTTGGGTGTTGAGGTAAGAGGGGTGTCTTCTCCGTGTGCCCAGGGGTGTCCTACCAGTGACGGATAAAAAGTAGTGCAAACTGTGTGTCCCCTCTGGGCACAAATGCAATTATATGTACATCGTAATTAATAAGCTTCAAATGTCAACAAGATAGTTAAATCCAAGAATTGCTGAAAATCACAATGATATGTTATTGAGTTTTGGAAACATTAGCAGAGTATAAGTGTTTGCTTACTATGGTCACTGAAATCAAAACATATATTAAAGGGAAAACAGACTTGCCAATAAATGGTAGGCAGAGTTAGCTTTCATTGATGCACAGTGAGCTGAGTCAGGTTGCTCTGTGGTAAATATGTAATATAATATCTTTACACAGGAATTTCTTCACTACAAAGTGAAGTAGACAAAAAAATTGGCCTAAATTATGCAATACATTTATCATTTCGTTAAAATATAAATTGTTAGTGTACAAACTATTTAAAATACTCACATAAGTGAAATGAGACTGAACAACAGAGAATTTTGGTGTGGGGTCTAACACTTCAATAGGCAAAATAGGGGCAGGCACCATCCACCATTTTCTTGTAAGTAGATAGCTCAAGAGCTTTTTAAAACCTATACTGAATACTTTCCCCAGGTTTAAGAAATTTAAATAATCAGTTACTGAGTATGGTCCTTTCCTATGGTGATATGCAGCATATTTCCATACTGCTATATTGTTCATTAAAATTTTAAAGACGTTGCATAAGAAAAAAAAAGTAGTTTTAAAGACAATAGTATTAGTGTCTATCATATCCAGTAACACTTTATTGGTATTTTCCCCTTCTGCTATGCAAATGGCACTCAGATATATACTGCTGGCAGAGAGTATGAAAGAATTGTTTTAATGAACACATCATCCACAAGGGTAAGGGGCATTTCTGGGGACTAACCTAAGTGAGTACCTGAAAATCACCAGGTCTGGCTAGAAATATAGAGGGAGACATGACAACTTCAATTTCATTGTGACAATTATATTTTGATACACCATATCCCTAACACATACATGAAAGCTCCTTTCCCCCAAACATTTACTATAGCCCTTTCATCCACACAGATACACACTACATCCCCTCTCCACACACACTACACCACTAACACACTACACTGCAAACAGCCCTATTCACAGCCACAGCCACAGCCACAGCCACAAAACAATCTCCCCTGACACATAATTGCTCAAGAAACCTCTCCCCACATGGTAATCCACACAAACAACCTCACATGCAAAATCCCCATACTCACAACTACAAATGCAGCTAACCCACACTCAAAAACTCACAAGCAGCCTCCCCAACACACAGGTATAAAACAACGCCACAGATAGTCTACCCTTGCAAGGGGCCTCTAAATGCATACAATATCTCAGGCACCCAAGCTACACACACAACACCCTCTCCCAACCCTATTTTTTCTTCTGAAATTTCACTCATGAGGACACCAGAGAGAAGTCACAAGCAAATGCACAACATGCACGTCATTAAATTTGCTTGCACTATGCTTAACAAACACAGGGCAATTTACCTATGTCAGAGCTCTTCAGCAGGACTCTGCGTATGACCTGCCCTGAAACGGCATCAAACTGACATGCTCACTTTTTTGAAGTGTTCCTGTCATCGGTGTGTGCTGTTCCTTAAGCTTTATTATGTCATCGATGATAACACAACATACTCCGGTACTGCCTCCCCACCACCCTCAAAAAAGTAAGTTTTACCTATATCCTGTTCCGTATTGCTTCAAAAAGCTATCAGAAATGCTGACTTTCCTTAAAGGGGCAATCCAAAAACCATTACCACTACAGTGTGTTATAGTGGTTATGGTTCCAGGAACACCCTGACATCCTCTCAGTTTAAGTAGTCTAGAATTTTAGAACGGAATTTATGTGAGGAGTAATCAGTTTACACTCTCAGTTAGTGAGATAGCCCTTCACTGCTGGGTTTAGTTCAGGAAAGCTAAATGGCTCCCTGAGGGCTGCAGAGAAGCGGGTAGCGGTCCCCGGCAGAACTTCAGGTAAGAAGTCAAACTATTCTAGAAACTCCTGGCACTACTGGCATGCAGTAGTGGTTATGGTATTTGGACTGTTCCTTTAACAAGTAAGCAAAGGACAGCTTCAAAAATGGTAAAGAAGTTAGTTTATCTCAAAGATAATTTGTTAAAAGTTAAATCAATTTACATTTTAAAAAATTATTATTGATTTCTGCAAATAATACTCCTTTGAATGTAACTCAGGCTTGATACTTTGTAGACATTGGCTGATGTGTTGGCACAATGTTTGCCAACTCTGACTTGCCATTGTTTTTAATGTTTATCAACCTTCATTTTTTAGTTTAATTATGTTTTATTTCATTCAATATCAACTTCCTAGCATTAGCCACACAGTATTCATTAATTCCGCCAAATTCATTTTCGGCAGTTGTGAAGTTCAGATCTTGAATTCTTGATAATATTTAATACATTTACTAAAATCTAAATTGAATAACCAAAGTCAAACTTGATCTGAAATAGCCTGTGTTGAATCCTCTCTAGTCTGTTCCTAATTAGCCCTGAGATGGGGCCGACTTACTTGAGAGTTTCTCACAACAACCAAACTAGTTCATATAATTAAGAAATAAAGTGAAGATTGGCAAAGGTAGTCATATTCAGTATTAAAATATTCTATTTTACATATTTCACTTTAACCTGAATGTTAATTGAACACCTATGGCTATATATGTTGACTTGGAGCAATAGGGACATATTGTTTATTTATGGCCAATTTGTGAAAGAAGGATTGGGCCTCCATCTGGCACAGTAACATTTTAAGATGGGACACTAGACTCCATCCTCTCTCTGTAAAGCCTATGATATGAATCATGTATTTGTATGAAGAATAAGTCACAACAGAGCTAAATCATGATTCCGACTGGTCCTCTCTGGCTCTGCTTATTAAAATCTAGCTTCCTCCTCCTAAGAACCACCAACTCATATCCCACGTGTTCGTTCATGCGAACGGTGGCCATCCAGCTGAACACTTGGGATAACAAAGTGTGAACTGATGATGGAGATGTCAGGATAGGTTAGCAGGGGTTAACAAGCCCAAAGGTGGTCCGAGTATGGGTGGTATAGAGAGACAATTCGTGGGTTTGTGAAGAAGGGAAAACGTACGAAAAGAGGGACAGAGTGGTCAGTTACACAGCCCATAGTCCCATAGCAGGAGGCTAGCTAGCAGACAAGCATATTTGCCACACTATCGTTCCTGTAAATTCTTAGTAATTTTCTTATTTATTGTTAAATCTCTCCCTTTTAGAATATTGTAAAGCGCTACGGAATCTGTTGGCATCATATAAATAACAATAATAATAATAAAGTCTGCTAAAACAGGAGTTTTTTTTTTACAAATGTCCTATGATTCTGACACATCTAACCACTCCCAACACCGCAAGCCTAGATAGCTATCATTAGTGAGAAGGGTGATTAGTAGTGACAGTGGATACTATTTGGCACACTACAGAAAGGGTGGCTACAATGAGTGCCAGCGAGATTAACCCCTTAAGGACAGCGGGCGTGCTTTGCCGTCCTTAGGGAACCGGCTCTAAACGCCGGCATAGCACGTCCCCGCAGTTCAGGGTACTTACTTACGCTGGCGATCGCTGTATGGGGACTCACGTGAGAGCCCAGGGAGTCCCCCTCCTTCCTCTTCGGTTCCCCTGGGCCATGTGATCGCAGCATAGCTGTCCATGTCAGTGCCAGCAAGGGGAGTGCCTATAATGACAGGTACTCCTCCTGCTGCATGTAAATAGTAAAAGCAAAATTTAAAATTACATTATATATACTTAGATCATATATATATATATTATATATATATAATATATATATATATGATCTAAGTATATATATATACACATATACATACACTAAGTGTATTTTAATATTAATATATATATATATTAATATCAAAGTACACGTAGAATTATATTGATTAAATATATATATATATACATAAAATTATCATTATATATATATTTATATATAATATAAAATAAATAAATATGTAAAAATAAAATAAAATTAAAAAAATACAAAATAAATAAATAAAAATATATATATGTGTAATTTCATTCTAACTGTATTTTAAAATTAATATATATATATTGATATCAAAATACACGTAGAACAAAATAATATATATATCTATATACATAAGTATATACGTAAATATCGCTATATATATATACACCTATATATAAATAAAAATAATTTTAAAAATTATATACATATATATATATATACATACACATATTTATATATACAAATGTATATATATATTAATTCTAGATATATATTTATGTAATAATTTTACATAATTAGGTCATTTTATTAATTACAATTTGCAGAACCTGCCTGACAACCCAGGCCGAAAGTCCAGGGAATTTAATTTGCTAGCACTATATTTAACCCTGTAACTTTCCAAGACACCATAAAACCTGTACATGGGGGGGGGGGGTACTGTTTTACTCAGAAGACTTCACTGAACACAAATATTAGTGTTTCAAAACAGTAAAATTTATTACTACGATGACATCGTCAGTGAAAGTGAAATTTTTTGCATTTTTCACACACAAATGGCACTTACACGGACGATATAATTGTTGTGCTATGTTTTACTGTTTTGAAACACTAATATTTGTATTCAGCGAAGTCTCCTGAGTATTACAGTACCCCTCATGTACAGGTTTCATGGTATTTTCAAAAGTTACAGAGTCAAATCTAAGGCTTGCGTTTCAGTTTTTCACATTGAAATTCGCCAGATTGGTTACGTTGCCTTTGAGACCATATGGTAGCCCACGATTGAAAATTACCCCCATGATGACATACCATTTGCAATAGTAGACAACCCAGGGTATTGCAAATGGGGTGTGTCCAGTCTTTTTAGTAGCCACTTAGTCACACTGGCCAAAATTGGCGTTCAAATTCGTTTTTTGCATTTTTCACACACAAACAAATATTAACACTAATTTTGGCCAGTGTTTGTGACCAAGTGGCTACTAAAAAAGACTGGACATACACCATTTGCAATACCTTGGGTTGTCTACTTTTGAAAATGGTATGCCATCATGGGGGTAATTCTCATTCCTAGGCTACCATACAGTCTCAATGGCAACTTAACCAATCTGGAATTTCAATGTGAGAAAACTGAAAAATGTAAAATGCTATATTTGACCCTGTAACTTCCCAAAACACCATAAAACCTGTACATAGGGGGTACTATTTTACACTGTTTGCAGTAAAAGCAAACAGTATTATGACATTCACAGTTAGAATGTCACGTAGAACTACATTTAAAAAAAAAAAAGTATTTCCTCCCATTTTTAATATTTTATTCATATTAAATTATGTTTCATACCTAAATATTTGATGTTAAATGAAAGCCCTGTTTCCGCTGAATAAAATGATATATAATAAGTGTGGGTGCACATAATATGAAAGAGGTGAATTACGCCTGAACAGACATATAGCGCAAATTCTAGTTTTTGTTTACGTTTTGTTTTGATCACAACGTGTACATTTGGCTCAGTCCTAGAAGGGGGCAGGTGGGCAAATGGGCTAGTGTTAAAATTAAATATCTAGAGCTGGACTGTTCTAACAGAGTGGAGATTTGCTCTGATTACTGAGTAACAATTTCCCCAAAGACTTCAATGGAGCCATTATTTTTAGCGAAGACAGTAAACCTTTACTCTGCTAAGAGAAATCAGCCCTTTATGTCCAAATATTATACATAGTAAATACCCACATTGTGGTTATATGTTCAGTTGAGATCATAATTGAAGCTTTAAAAATAACCTCTAAAAAAATTGCATGTGCTTAATTCACCATGTGTTATGTCAATGCCTGATGAGCAGTGATTATATTTAAATGAGACCTTTAAGACTGCTGGGCTGCTAAAAGAAATGGTGTGTTATGCATGGAGAACTAATGTGATTATGAAAGCACTCATTCACAATCATGACAGTGCTGGATTCACCACCAGATAAGTAATTTTGATTTTCTTTCTTTTTTTATTTTGTTAACAGACACACGTGCCCACACAGGGACACTACAAAAACCTTAAAGCGGCACTGTCACACCCCCTACAACCCCAACAAAATATGAGTATTTCATAAATATAGAATCATTATGAAATATTTAATACTAATTTTGATTGTGTTGGAATTTCACTGACAATCCAACCCAGTCAAGAGATATAAAGAGACAATATAAGGACTATTATTTCTTCTTGTCAGGTTACCTTGCATATCAGTCAGGGGCATGTCACAGGCTGGCATCACAGGGTATTAGGATACTCCTACCAACTCTCAGCTTGTCCCCAGTGATTCTCACACCAGCCACGATAACCCTGCCTCCTTTTATGATGCGCCTAATGAGCGCTGACGTCAAGATGCTAAGAACGCCATGTTCAAACGAGAACATTTTGGGGGTGTGGTTACCTACCTAATTGAACACGGTACTTAAAGATAAACCAGGGAGAGACTAGTTGCCCTGTTGTGGTTCTTGATAGACCCAATAGCGCATATCTCGTACTGGTATTCTTGAATCCTGACTTTGGCTTAGTTTGACTATTCCTCCTTCTGTGTTCCTTTGACCTCGGCCATTGCATTATCGTTGATCCTGATTTCTGGTACCCCTGACCTCAGTTCACGTTTGACTATTCTTTGTGTGTGTATCCATGGTCCGGTATACATTACTAGTATTTGCATTCTATGTGTAGGATCCCCGAATGTTCCTGACACTTCTCCATCTAACTTTCTAAGACTCTGGGCGGATTCTAAGTATTAATCCCGACAGCTGTCAATAGTGACGGCTCAGGGAATTGGCTGTGTCTATGGAAGATGTAGGAGTTATGTTATTTTCGGTTTGCTTGCTTGTATGCTTGACAAAATTACTCATAATGTGTGGGATGAGATTGGATGGATTCTTTTGAAACCCTTACATGTTCTTTCCTTTTAGGGTTTGTGGGTGTACTTTCTTTTTCACATGACTGTTTATATATTTTCTGTCTTTCCCATAGGAAAGCATTGAATTGGCTAAGATCAGCAATTCTGATGATCTAAGCCAAGGAGGCATGGCAAGGATGGAGTCAACTGCCATCCTGGACAATCAGCATATTTTAATAGAGATGTATTGAATCAGAGATGTATTGAACCCAACCCTGATTGGCCTCCTTGGCTGACATCATCAGAATTGATAATCTAAGCCAATCACAATGCTTTGCCATAGGTAAGCATTGGATTGGCTGAGATTGTCAATTCTAAATTCCTCAGCCAAGGAGGCGAAGCATGGGTGGAGCCAAATGCTTCCCTGACCAATCAGCATCTTGTAATAGACATATATTGAATTAGTGCATCTCTATGGGGAAAGTTCAGCTTCTCCGTGCAGAGCACCTCTAGTGACTTTCTGAAGAGTGGCCACTAGAGGTGTTCCTAGTCTGTGTTGTAAACACTACCGTTTCTCTGAAAAGGTAGTGTATACATTAAAAAGCTTGCAGGAACAGGCTATAGAAACCAGAACTACTAAAATAATCTGTATTTGTTCTGGTGACTATAGTTTCCCTTTAATTTAGCTACAAAGCTTTCAAGTAATTGCATGCTTCTATGAGTGCATTACAAACAGAGGGATGTGAAGAATGTCACATACATATTAAAGGACCACTCTAGGCACCCAGACCACTTCAGCTTAATGAAGTGGTCTGGGTGCCAGGTCCTTCTAGGGTTAACCCATTTTTTCATAATTATAGCAGTTTCAGAGAAACTGCTATAATTATGAATGGGTTAAGCCTTCCCCCTAATCCTCTAGTGGCTGTCTCATTGACAGCCACTAGAGGCGCTTGCGTGCTTCTCACTGTGATTTTCACAGTGAGAGCACGCCAGCGTCCATAGGAAAGCATTGTAAATGCTTTCCTATGAGACCGGCTGAATGCGCGCGCAGCTCTTGCCGCGCGTGCGCATTCAGCCGGCGGGGCGGACGGAGGCGGAGAGGAGGAGGAGAGCTCTCCGCCCAGCGCTGGAAAAAGGTAAGTTTTTACCCCTTTCCCCCTTCCAGAGCCAGGCGGGAGGGGGTCCCTGAGGGTGGGGGCACCCTCAGGGCACTATAGTGCCAGGAAAACGAGTATGTTTTCCTGGCACTATAGTGGTCCTTTAAGGTTATATATTCCAAGTGTCATCCATTTGTAAAAGGAGTTCTGATTAAAATATGATAGCTGGTAAATAACATTATTTGGAAAGATGCCTCTTTGTAGAACAGAATTCAACAGATCACAGAAGTATTTGCACAATCTAGGCTTATGAGACACTGTAAATCCTGTGAGTGCTTCACAAGGTGGTCGCTGCAGTATATTCTGTGTAGCCAGTTCCAGTACCAGTACTGTCATAATTAAATTCACTTTGTAATGCTTTTATCAGTTTATAAAAAGTTTCATAACATTATTACTATAACTGTGCTTTAGAAATTACTAGACAAAGGAAGTAAGAGGCAAGATAGAGGTCAAGATTCTTCTTTTTTTTCATTACATTTGAATATCTACTATAATGGATGTATTGTTTGTAAACTACTACATTTACCAAATTATGGGGGAGATTTATCAAGGCCAAAAGTACTACGTATGGAAGCAAAACACCATGGCAACCAATATATTGTCTCTCAAAATTTAGAACTTTGCATACAAAATAGCATCTGCTTTACCTTGATAAATATCTCCATAAATATTATAGTTAGCATCTTCCAAAGACTTAGTGATAAATAAATTATTTTTATGCATTAGCCCTCCTTTTCAGAGAAAATGTCAAGATAACCAAATAAATGACAGGTAGCAAATCATGTTCTCTTTTTTTAAGAAATCAAATCGAAACTCTGTATCAATTCAATAATTTTTGTTGGAGTTCCACACAGGGTTATTTGCTAATAGAGACATTTTTTATTCATTTTACTAATTCATTTGCAGCAACATTTGAGACAGTCTAGCTTGTTAACTATATCTAATATTTTGCACATTTACCATTAGTCAAACCTAAAGAGACACTATAGTCACGCAGACTTCATCTCATTAAGGTGGTTTGGGTACAGTGCCCTTGTCCATAATACATCTAGGTACTTTGGCATTATAGCATTAGGAATAGGAAAAGGGCAGGAAATAAAACTCTGAAATTAGTATAAACAGATCAATCCCCTTCCCATCAGCCAGTCTTTTCTTTTTACTGTCCTTCACAGCAATTTGGATGGAGTCTGCATAAGCAAGCCTGGATGTTTTCAGTTATGCTCACCAAGTAAATATTTTAGTTTCCCTGAGGATGCAGCAACAGCACATCTCTATGAGTTGCCAGCCTGGGTAACCCCTTTAGTTACTGGGGATCTGACCAACTCTCTCCCTCAGGGGATAACAGCATTCCACTGGATACATGAGGCCAAACCAGGGTTAGGCCCCCTATCCCTGAAGACCCAATAAACAGCATTTCTATAAGGTGACTACCTGGTATGCTTCTTTTATATATTACACCATGTCCGGGTATGTTTTAAACCTTACTCCATTGGTGATGATAAATGGCATATAAGGTGTCTATGCAAGCCTATAGTTTAACCAGTTTAAGCTGTCATTTGCTCAAATCTCCATTTGCCTCTGAAATTCAGGCCTCCAGCTTTTCATCTGTTTCCATGGCTGTTTGGCATGTTTTCCCACCTCAGGTAAGTACATTAGTAATTTAGATTAAAGACTAGTATAAGTAGCTGGGTTTCTGTTCTTTCAGTTCCTAACAGTTGCTTACATTAGGCTTCCTTCTGACAAATAGGTCACATTTTAGAGGTTTGTGTGGTGAGCATTTAGGTAAGTTTATGAATGCAATCAGGGCCACCTTAGGCCATTAGGAGCCCCAATGAGAAAAATATTCACAGCTTCCCTCCATGGATACACCCGCTCATCCATATATAGTGTGTGTATAGGAGTGTAGTGCTTGTATAGAGGGCTGATTAATGAGGTGAAATACATAGCTTTAGTATATGTATGCACTATATACTCTATGTAAGATTTGGTGTGAAGCACAGCCTCAGTAAATGTGCCCACTACATGGCCAATGTATGAGTTGGTCTGAAGACTCAGCCTCAGTATATGTGTCCACTATGATGTTTGTATGAGTTGGTCTGAAGACACAGCCTCAGTTTATGTATCCAGTATATGCTCTATATAGGAGTTGGTCTGATGACACAGCCTCAGTATGTATCTACTATATGCTCTATGTATGAGTTGATCTGCAGACACACCGTGCATATATGTGTCCACTATATGCTCTATGTATGTGTTACCCACCCACACAAACTGACCCATGCACACACCCACACAGACTGACCCTCACACACAGACTGACCCATACACACACAAAGATTGACCCCCCACACAGGGCCGGCCTTAGGCCATTTGGCGCCCTGTGCGAAGTCTTCACCAAGTTGCCTGTATACAGTCACACACACAGGCAGACAGTCAAACAAACAAACAAACAGTTACAAGCAGACAGTCAGACACGCTCAGTTACAGGCAGACAGTTACACACACACACACACACAGTTACAGTCAGACAGTCACACATGCTCAATTACAGACAGACAGTCACACAGTCACACACACAGTTAAAGGCAGACAGTTACACACACAGTTACAGGCAGACAGTCACACACACACACAAGCAGACAGTCGCAAATAGTCCATTACAAGCAGACAGTCGTACACACTCGGTTACAGGCATGCAGACATTCACGCATGCTGATAGGCACACAGACAGTCAGTTAAAGGGAGATAGTCACACATACAGGCACACACAATGGCACAGCTACAGCGACACACACACAAGCAGTCACGCAGAGGCAGGCAGAAAGTCACACAGACAGACAGTCACACACACAGGGAAGCAGTCACACAGACAGACAGTCACACACAAACACACAGGCAGTGACACACACAGGCAAATCATCACACACAGTCACACACACAGACAGTCACACAGGCAGGCAGACAGTCACACACAGGCAGGCAGTCACACACAGGCAGACAGTCACACACACAGACAGTCACACGGGCTGGCAGTCACACACACACACACACAGGCAGTCAGACAGACAGTCACACACACACACACATGCAGGCACATAGACAGACAGTCACACAAACAGGTAGGCAGTCACACACACACAGAGACTTACCTCTTTCACACACACACACAGAGACTTACCTCTTTCCAGTATGGCTGGAAGGGGGAGTGGATGCAGTTGGTTGTAGGGGAAGCAGGGACTCCTTCATTCTTCCCTCTTCCTGTGCAGCAATTACCAGGGGCTTTTGTGTAGGTATTAGCCCCGCTATATGTCCCGCCCCCGCTGTTTGATAACCCCCGCCCCTGCTGTTTGATAAGCCCCACCCCTGCTGTTTGATAAGCCCCACCCCCGCTGCCTCCATTTTTTTTGCTTCCCTGCACTTCTGTCACCCGGCCATGTGCGAGCTGTGACGCCCACATGGCTCCCCCTGCTCCATGGCGCCCTGTGCAGCCTCACAGCTTGCACACCCCTAAGGCCGTCCCTGCCCCCACACACAGACTGACCCATACACACACAGACTGAACCCCCCCCCACCTACACACACAGACTTTTCCCCATAAACAAAGACTGACACTCCTCCCCACACCCATACACACACAGACTGACCCCCACAGGCGCAGACTGATCCCAAAAACAAACAGACCCCCCACACCAGTACACACACACTGATCCACACACACAGACAGAGACTGATTCCCACTTACTAGCAGCTTCCTGGATGCCTCTGTGCAGAGCTGAGCTTCCTCTCCCTGTCTCTCCCCTGCGCTGCTCTCTATGACCCAGGAAGAAGTCCTCCCAGCACAGCGTCCCCTCTGGCTGCACGTGGGAAAAGTCCACCAGTAACAGTGCTGCTGCAGCTTGTGACTTCAGTTTCAATTGGGGGGGCACTGCATGATGTCAGGGGGCCATGGCCCCCTCTGGAACCCTCCTAGTGACGCCACTGGAAGTAGTCTTTGTATGATGTACTGTTCAAACACAGCCTCAGTATGTATCTGATATTAGTCTGTATATGAGATGTTGTTAAGTCACACACTCAACGGGATTGATATCTCTGAGGTGAGTTTTTAATACATCCTCAGTATATGTGATTAGTATATTCTGTATGCAAGTTGGTGTATATGCAACATTAGTATAATTAATATATGCAACTGATCTAAGGTCTGTGTTTCAGCTGGTCTACCAAAGGTCTACCAAAGCAAATGCACTGTTGCACTTGTCATGTACATATTACAAGATGTGGATTCTCTACTTTAGTTTTCTAAATGAAGAAGATAAGAGAAACACGTTGCCTTTTGCTTTTACATTTACATGTTACATTTTGCCTCCCACACGTGTTTCAGGATTAACAAGTATCCACTTTAGATGGACTGCAGGTGTTACTGAACCTGTCTGGGTACTCCTGATTTCCAAAATCAAGGCCTGGTAATGTTCAATAACTGTTAATAGTGCTTTATGTGTACACACATATGCATATAAATGTGAGAAGTTGCTACCAAACAATTTATATTGCCAGGTACTACCTTCTCACTGATCAAGATTGTGGCAAACACTCTCTTGCCACGAGCTCCTGGAGGCTGACCTCCTGCGTACAGATTATGGGCCGGATCCGGAGACCCCATTCTGACCCTAACCTACACTGCATCCCCAAGAGAACAGTGACAGAAGCTTCCATGTCATGGTATTTTGGAGAGGCTTAAAGGCCAGCCTATGGACCTGGTCACAGGACTCCCTGAAAGAGGTGTGTGACAGCAGCAATCACTAGACAAGTTAATCATTGTTACTTGAGAAGTCTGCTGCACCCTCTGCTGACTGTCTAGAAGTGTGTTCATTTGCATAAGACTTGTATGCATATGAGAACAACCAAATAAGTGGTTAAACGCATATAATGTTTCTTTTTATCGTGTTTGAAAATGTCATTTGTATTATATATTTCATGTATTAATTTTAATTGCTTAATTGCTATATGTTCTTTATATTTGTATATTATTATAGTTGTCACAGCAATCTAAATGTTATGAGCACATGGGGTAGTTCTGACTAAAAATAAAGAATGGTATGTTAGTACCATTTTGAACTGGGTGTACTGGGTGTATTTTTTTAAATTGATTTTTATTGCAAAAATTTTTTGTTACAAATACAAAAACAGTGAAAAAGACATGTTTTGGTTTTTTTGCATACAAATACAATAAAAATGTATTCCGTTCTTAATAAACAATACTGTTCTACCATTGTTGTATTTGATTATTTAATTTGTAGTATTTCGTATATCAGTTAATTATCTAGTATGCAAACATGACATACAATACACAAACATTACAAAAAAAAAACAATTGAATCGTATTTTCTCTTCACTGCAGGACTAAACACAAAAAGAAAAAAGGGAGAGGCGGGGTGGCTGACCTGCAATTTTCAAGACTTAACCTTATTCAACAATAGTAATTTTTATAAAGAATGCAATATCTTTATTGTATCATCCCAAAATACATTATATCTGAGTTTTTTATTACCAAGTGTTGGAATATATTTCTCCATAAGTAATTGAAAACTTATTTGGTGTCTTATTAGACACCAATCAGGTTTAAATGGATTTTTCCAATTCTTTGCTATAATTAATTGTTGCAGTCAACATATGTAGAAATATAATCACATTCTCTTTTTTAATTCTAGGTATGTTTATATGTAGAAGCATCAAGTCTGGTTTTAGGGGTAGTGTGGATTTTACAATTCTATTTATTTTACAATTCTGCCATAATTCTTTAATAATTGGACATTCCCACCAGATATCCGTCTTTTCTCCACATCTCCAACAGTCATCAGATTGAGTAGGGGATTTTTTAAAAGTCCTTCTAGGGACAAGATGTCATCTATTTAAGATCTTATAGTGTAGCTTGTTTAGGTTTAAACAATGAAGATTAGTTTTTAGGGTTTGGATTGATTTACACCAATCTTTATGGGAAATTTGAATGCCCAGATCTCTATTCAATTTCCATAGTGCAGATGGGTAAGAATGATTTTCAATTTTATATAGTAATTGATTGGATTTTGAAATTAGATTTTTAGTGTCCTTAGAATTAATGATTAGTGCAAAGTTGTTGTTTTTTTCCTTTTCTTTCCTTTTCTTTTCTTTCCTTTTCTTTCGGAAAAATTAGGTTTTTCATTAAAAAAGATCTAACCTTTCTAATAATCAAAAAAGTTTAAGTTCTGCAAAAGTTTTAATACCTTTGTCTAACCATGGATGTAGATTAATGTCAGACAGTAAGTTATTTAAAAATTCTGTTTTAAGAGAAGAGAACATTTTTCCTCTTAAATCTTGCCTGCTTTTAATTTCAAACCAGTTTTTCAATATAAGATTTAAAGACAGGCTTTCACAAAATAAGTTAGCTTTTTTAATTGAGGGTAAAAAATTGATGGTAAAAAACTGAAAGGATTAAGCTTCTTGGCTTCAAGTTTATAAAAGCTTTCCTCCCGGTATGTATAGCATGACTTAGAAGGGTAGCCTGAGCCAATCTTATAAGATATGAAATTCCCAGGCCTCATGGTCTTTTATTTGACCATATAAATTTAGAGAAAGAGGACTGTAGAAGATTGATTCAGCTTAAAGGTATACTACATGGTATTAAGCTCAAAATGTACATTAATTTAAGAATAACATATGCTTTTACAATATTAATCTTGCCCCACCATGATATCTTTTTTTTTTCCAGGTGTGTAATTTAGTATTGATTTCTTGTATCAGGGGGAGCAGATTAATCTCCATCCAATTTTGCGGGTTTGTGGATAATTTCAAGCCCAAATGGAAAATTTTCCATGATTCTTGTTTTTCATCTGTGGTGTTAAAAAAAATGGAAGAGCAGTTGTTTTGGAAGTATTCAGTTTATAGTTCGAAAAACGACTATAACATTTTATCACCTTCATTAATTCATGAATATAGTTTATTGGATCCTCCAAGACTATTAATACGTCATCTGCGTAGAGCTTTATCTTAATCTCCACGTTGTCCTTGAAGCCTTTAATTTTTTTGTTATTCCTTATCTCAAGGTCAAGTACTTCAATGGTCATGACGTATACAAGAGGGGAAAGCGGGCAACCTTGTCTAGTATCATTTTTTAATTTGAATGTGTTAGAAGATATACCCTGCCCTATTACTTTCCTCGTAGGGTTAGAGTAAAGAGCCATAATGGCTTGATGGATCCAACTTGTAAAACCAAAGGCTTTTAAGGTATGTGAAAGGAAATCCCAGCTGACTCTGTCAAAGGATTTCTCAGCATCTAGAGACAGGGCCAGCATTGGGACCCTTTTTCACTTAGCGGTCTTAAAAATGTTAAGCAGTGTTCTTATGTGGCTTGATGATGATCGCTCAGATATAAAACGTACCTGATCTATATGGATTAACTTTGCTATAACTAATTTGAGTTTATGTGCCATAATGCCTGAATAAAATTTTAGATCTTCATTCAGGAGGGAAATGGGTCTATAGCTTCTAACATCATAATGATTTTTCTCAGGTTTTAAGATAGTAACAATATTCCCTCTTCTCTGCAAACTCATTAAAGGTGATCTGTAGATGTGGTATCAGATCTTCTTTATAAATTTGATAGAACATTGCTGTCAGCCCATCCGGTCCTGGCGCTTTTTTAGCCTTTGAGTGGTCAATTATCTCTATTATTTCTTCTTTAGAGAAAGGTTCATTGAGTTTTTCTAGTTGTAGAGAAGTTAACTTATTAAATTCTATCCCTTGGAAATAGGCCTCTATGTTTTGTGAAGGATCTTTGGATTTGATGTTATATAAACTACTGTAATATTTCTCAAAAACCTTAGCTATTTTATCAGATGAAAGGTAAGTTTCATTATCATATATTATTTTAGATATAGCTTTGGTTTTTTGAATATTCTTCAAATTATTAGTTAACATCTTGTCTGCTTTATTACTCTTATAGTATTGGAAAGATTTCAATCATTCCAATTTCTCAGCGGTTTCATTGATTGTTCTTTCATTAATACTTTTTTTTTTAAGATCGTCAATCTGATCTGAGATGTTCTTAGAAGGGTTAATTTTATTACTGCTTATTAAATTCTCTAATTTGGTATAGAGATGTGAGATATTTTTTTCTCTGTGTTACTTATTTTGGGAAGCTAATTTAATTAAATGGCCCCGGATCACACACTTAAAGGCTTCCCAAATCGTAGCTGGGGGTAGATCATTAAAGGTATTTTTATGAATTCTCTATTTTCCAGTAGGAACTCCTTGAGTTTCCATTCTGGTCATTTTTTAATATAGTTATCCTTCAGTTCCATGATGACTATATTATGGTCTGACCATGTTATCTTGCATTTGTCAATTTTCTTGACTCTTTGGATAATATTTAGGTCTGTAAGAATTTAGCCGATTCTCGAGTAAGCAGTATGTGTTTTGGAAAAACAAGTATAGTCACGCTCGTTTGTATGGAATATATGCCAGGTGTCATATAATGAATTCCCCTGGGCAAAGGAACTGAATTTTGATGCTTGCCCGTGCACATTCCCATCCATCTGTCTACTCAACAGTGTCTGTTTATCGATTTTTGGGTCCATTACACAATTGAAATCTCCCATAGTATTTCCCTGTTTTATCTTATTCAGTCTTTCCCAGTCTTTCCCACAATCTGAATATAATTTTCATTGGTGCATCATTTGGCGAATATGTGTTGACCAATGTATAAGGGATATTATCTATCGTACAAATCACTATTAAATATCTCCCTTCAGAATCCTGTTCGGAGTGTTTTATACACATATTTATATTGCGAGAAAAGAGAAATGCTACACCACGTTTTCTTCTATCTGGCAATGAGGAAGAAGTGACCATAGAGAAGTCTAGACTCCTCCAGTGAGTCTCTTGTATAGCACAAATGTATATTCTCTGTTTTTTTAATAATTGGAAGAGAATAGATCTTTTGTGTAGGGAATTTAATCGCCACACATTCAGAGTTGCAAACGTAACCATTATCTTGGGTCCAGCCCACACCTCCATCTCTCCTCATATAGGCCAAGAGAAATTAGAAATAATACAGAAAAACATTAACTACATTAAACAAACATTCGTAGGTAATAAAACCTATCACAGAGATACTGATACTTAAAAAGTACCAACATCCCTTTCTTATGCTTCCCCACAAGCACTGGTAAGAGAATACCAAAATTCAATTGTCGCAGCCCAGTTGGCAAATCCGAATATCGGGTCATGGTGCCCTGGGTAGAAAGGTCCCAGGGATTCATTTTCGTTGATGTTTTTAGGAAAAAGAGAGAGAGGGAAAAAGGCATCAGAATTTCTCTATTCTTTTCTTTTTCTATCCTTTCCTATTCTTTGTTTTCATAGACGTCTTCTACCGTTAGCATCCTGTTGTGTATTGGAACGCCAATATAATAAGCCTACGTCAGCTTCTTCAGGTAGCAGCTTTAACCGCAGAAGCATTGTAGTTTCATATCGTTCAGGAAAATTTACACTTCCCAACCTCTTAACAGTAAATATATATATTAATGAATAAAACACAGCCTCCGTACTTGGAGCTGGAGTGGATCCTTCTCTGGGGTCCAGTGATGCTGCTCTGATCCTGTCATCTTCCTGCTCTTCTTGCTCTGCTCCCTTGCACACTGTTTAGTGATGCCAGGGCCGGAGTTTTTACATATTCAGGCTCCAGGCATCACAACAAGGTGCTTGAGGGGGCAGAGCAAGACGAGCAGAAGGATGACAGCTCCCTCATAGTCGCTTCCATTGCTCGCTGGCCTTGTGGGACCCTATGGTGGCCAGGGCTGACAGACAACTAGACGCCAGGAAAATAAATTCTAGTCGCCATGGTGACTTGACACCTAGGAATTTTTTAAGCCCTGTATTAGAAATACTTATATATCAAGAAGTGAACATAAATTCCAGTAACTAATAACATTTATGTTATGTTTATAGCAACCATAGAAATGTTTATAGCAACAGGAAAAACATTTATAGCAACAGGAAA